TCATTGAAAGATGCAAGGATTTTGAGACTTTTTTGAGATATTAAAGCACGCTATTGTTATCATGTAATCGAGTACATATTGTGGAACGTCCTGAAAGAGGTGAACAGCTCATCTTGTGACAACCGTATTGTAAAACCTTTCTGGATAAAAAGTAATAATCAGCTTCAACGGGAAATGTTCAGGAACTTCCAGTGTCTGGTTATGGCATACCGGATTTTACATCTGGAGATGTGGTGTGCTATATACAAGAAAATGGATATCAGACCCTTAGAGATACAACAATCAGCAGTCTGATAGACATTTCCGCCTTGTTGGACACACATAGGTAGTACATGATATTGTAGTGAAACAGAAATTCACCTCTTTGATAAGGAAAGAATGATCCAGTCATAATTGAAAACACATTCCAATTCTTAATTCACTAACGCGCGTTTGAACCCTTATCTTTGTTCAGGGTTGCACGTTAATCAGGCGATGTCCATACTTTGACAATATTTGTGATAATCGAGAGGAGCGTGTCAGCTATTGTATCGATCACAAACGTTAATCTTTCATCTTTGTGGCACGTAAGTAAGATTGTCATGACAGTTCAATGCTTCAAGATCGTGTCAGCGATCTAGGTTCAATTATAGAATTGACGAAATACAAAAACTGTATTGTCACTTCAGTAAAATTCTTTGTTTTAATTTTTATATCAGATTAGCTGTCAGGCGCTGTACTGCCCACCACACATGGAACCAGCAGGGGTAGATGTGCTGCTCTTAAATACAAATCGATAAATATCATCTTGGATCTTTTATTTGAAATTTACATGCCTGTATCATTTGGTGACACATATTTTGAAATCTTTAAAAGACTACTAGATAAATTGATAAACGAATTAATCAGTAAACTTATTTCATCCTCGGGCGAAATGATCTGGTTCCTGATAACTGCGACCAAGATTATACCAGGATATCACGTGACATCGATGAAGCCTTGTTCTCTGATTCATTTCCAAGAACTGCTTATGGGATTTCCCATCAATAACGTATCGTCTGAATACATAATGTTTTTGGTGACCAATTTATTTGCACGTTATCATCAAAATATCTCAAATGGAGTTCACGTTAATCATTTAAATGACGTCGAGGAATCTTTGTGTGAGTGCAACATTTCACTCAGGAATCCATTGTATGTGGCAAATTGTTTGTCACATGGTGTTATTGCACCATGTCCAGCAGTGAAAGTATGCCCCTATGGGAATTATTGCGACAGCAAGTGTTCAAACAGTAGCTTATCAAACGGGAAATTACATAAAAAAGTATTCTACCTAAATTGCACAATTATTGAATCGGAAGTTGTTCTATACAAACAAGGAAATTATTGTCTTTGCTTAGACACTTATTTATCAAAGTATCAAGTTGTAAATGAAAATGATGTTAGCATAAACTATTACAGATATGTTATCAGTACGAACTGTACGTGTATATCAATCATATCACTGGTTTATGATCTGGCACAGTATTGTGTTATCCCAATTATGCGGGAGGGAAAGTCAGAACTTCTGTTTGTGTTGATGTTATATTTACTGTTTGCCCAAACCAGTTTCTTGTTGATATCTTATATCAACGTTAAACACGATTGGGGTGAATGGCTTGGTATGATACATCATTTTGTTTGGATTAGCACCTTTTCTTTCATGTTTCTTTGCTCTTTCCGCTGAAACTCCGAAATAAGAAATGTAACTACTATAAGCAAGTCGGAATGGTGTTCCAGAACAGTTACGTATGGTTTGGTCGGTTTCGTATGGAATGTTTCTGTTTTATCTACAAAAATATTGAACTCGGTATTAGCTCCTTCTCAAACATGGTATGGCGGAAATGATTTCACATGTTTATGTTTTATTAATAGCTTTTGTCCTCCCTATATCTTTGTTTCTGTGCGGAAATATCATATTGTTTATTTTGATTATTTACTATGTAAAAGCAACGTCTATGCCCAACAACAATCACTCCAACAAATCAACAATATTTGTGTTAATCAAAAGTTCGTCAATTATGGGCTTCAGTTGGATAATCGGAATTATTGCAACATTTGTTCAGTCTGAAATTCTTCTTATAATTTTTGAAAACATATCACATGTACAAGGAATGTTTATTACACTACATCTTTCGTGTAGTAATCGTGTTAATACATTTTACAGTGACCTCTGTTCTCAAAAGCAGAGAACTAGTTCAAAAGGAAAAACAATCATACATTCTGATTGAATTGATTTACCGTTAAAATCAGGAGAGTTGTCATGACATAATACATCGTTAGTCATTAAATAAGTATTGATATGTAGCCAGATGAATGATATACATAACTAGTGGCTTCAACATCCAGCATTTTGTTCTCTGAATCCTTTTTCTGGATATAATGTTTATACTCAGGATGACTGTCGTATTGCAGCACTTTGTACTACAGAGAAGTCGAATATTATTAATGTGTTTTTGAAGAATTCAAATTATCCTCAAATCAATATTGAGCCTTCTCTTCTATCAACAAAATAAATATTTCTTCTATAAAACGTTGCAATTTTCTATCTTTTGCACTACCATTTAACATAACAAACTGAAGGATGTTTTCATTTCTAAGTATGAGAGCTAATAGTTTCTTTAAAAAAAACGCTAACAGTGATATAAATCTGATGGTTGCAAGATCGTGATCTACTTTACAAAAGTAAAACATTTGACATTTGCCAACATTATTATATTAAAACATTAATTTTGACATCGGCCATTAGACCAGTTGTCGTTATACAACTTCGTCATTTTGCAACAAATCAACTGCTTGTGGCGTCAGAAACACTTCAATATATTATTGTTAGTCATAATACGTAGAGTAATAAACTTGACGATAATAGCATTGGAATGTTGGCATTATTGTATCAAGTTTAGATTTTGTGACGATTTAACGTAATGAATGAGCCTGTTATGGACCATCATCGTAGTATGAACGGCACTAATCAAGGCATATAGAAAAATTTAATCAGGCATACCGTATACATGTTGATTTGATTAATTAGACTCATATAGAATATATATAATTAATTAACTTTCAGTGTACATCATGTATTTATAGTTATAGCTATGAAAGATAAAGCCAACTGAATACCGGATTATATATAATTGTATATATGGGTTCCGTGATGGAAACACTGACTCCGTATCAATAATAATGGCACAGGTGCTTGGATTGTCACCACTCACATTTGATGTTTTTTTACATAAAAATAAATCAAATATGATCTATTAATTATTGTCAGAGTTTTCATACAGTTAAATGTTAACGTATCAAAAGCACCGATAGAGTTTACATAAAGCTATATCCGAATGTATGAAATATCATCAATTAAGCATTGATGAAATTTACATACAGTCATCAATTAATCACTGATGAGGTTTACATACATTTGCATGCAAACGTATGAAATATCATCAAGTAATCACTAGTTAAGTTAACATACATTTGCATGAAATTATGAAATAACATCAATTAACACTGATAAAGTTTACATATTAATACATACATGAAATTTCACAAATTAATCACTAATGGATTCTACATATACAGAAGTTGCTTACGAATGTATAAAATATCAGCAATGCATCACTGATAAAGTTTACATGCAGTTGTATGGGAATGTATGGAGCATCACCAATCAACCCAGATGGAGCAGCTGCATGCGGATTTAATTATCCATTGCGTGACGCGGTCAAAGACACTGCCTGTCCGAGCGGGCGATCCGTGTATCGATTGTGTCGGTCGATGTGAAGGGACAGGTGCGTAATCATTCAACAAACAATAAGGAGATAGTGCTGTCTCACGATGGGATGTCGTGCCACTTAGAACCGGACAGTGGGGTTGTGTAATCCGGTGCATTCACATCAAAAAGCGATGCTATGATACTGGCCCTGTCCAGTCCTGGGCTCGTCACACAACGATCTGCATTATATAGCTGCTGGATATTAAATAATGTTGAACATTGGTTGCAAATCACGGTAGGAGTAATATCATTGTTTTCATGATCAAGTTTTAAGGATATATTAATATGTTAAGAAATCACTCGTAGACACAAATTGGTTTCAACTGGAGGGTAAGACACACGTGTATGGTCTTCAGTTCATGTGGTAGATGTACAGAAATAACCAGTGTTTGACTATATCGACCGGAAAACTGTGTAACCATGATCTCAAATTGTGTACGGGACTGTCTGGAGAGGAGAATTACGTTACGATAAAATGTGTGATTGTCCTCGATCACGAGTGGTGTTACTATAACCCAATATTCAGTGTTAAGTGTTACTATCAATGTACATAGTCGTCTGGACCAGGGAACAGTGGTAATAGAAAGAATATGTATGATCGTCTGGGGTTAGAAACAGTGTAACTACAAGGAATAGTCATGATCATCTCAGCTAGGGAACAGTGTTTCTATAACCTGTATATATGATCGTCTGGACCAAGGAACAACGCTACTTTATCCAGTGTATATGATCTTCTGGACCAAGGAACATTGCTACTATAACCAGTGTATCTGATCTTCTGGACCAAGGAACAGTGTTACTATACCCAGTGTATCTGATCTTCTGGACCAAGGAACAGTGCTACTATACCCAGTGTATATGATCGTCTGGACCAAGGAACAGTGCTACTATAACCAGTGTATATCATCTTCTGGACCAAGGAACAGTGTTACTATACCCAGTGTATATGATCGTCTGGACCAAGGAACAGTGTTACTATTACCTATATGTATGATCGTCTGAGCTAGGGAACAGTGCTACTATAACCTATATTATAATCGTCTGGACCAAGGAACAGTGTTACTATAACCAGTGTCCAAGGATCAGTGTTACTATAACCAGTGTATATGACCTTCTGGACCAGGGGAGAGTTTTACTATAACAAGTGTATATGATCTTCTGGACCTGAGGAGAGCTCTTCTACACTTTCTTACGTGGTGTTGCCATAATTTCATATGCACGTTGACGTCTGGACCATATGACAACCGCTACTATTTTTTTGTATATCTATGCACATTCACTGCTATTAAAATGTTCAGAAGTATGTAAATACTTTGACCAATTATCCGTGTCGTCACGATGCCCGTTTTCTCAAAGTTTCAATGGATGTATGGGTATGTGTTTCCTAAACAATCAGTGTTATGATGTCACGTAATTTCCGAGGGAACCACCACATAATTCAGCTTATTATTATCTCGACACTTAACAATGGAAGCAGAGGAGTTTAAAAGGTGTGTACTTTACAACGGCTAACAGTATATGTTATACATGTATATATGTACGTGATAGAAACAGTTCCCTCACCAGAGCAAGAAGAGAGCGTGAAAACTTACAGATCCAAATAAAAATGCACATAAGAACCTAATTCCCACTAGGTGTACACTTTTATGCTATATTTTAATATTTGCATATGGATTAAAGCATCGTCTTTGTCTTGCACGAGCCAGTTGTAATACAATTGAATGGCAATGACAAGATAGTTGGAGAAAGGTTCATGCTTTGCTGATCATTTTCTTTCAGTTTAGAATGGGTGTGTGAGACTATCCGCTAGGTATATTAAGACACACATGCATTTATTATTATAAATTAATCATGGTGCGAATGTTTGTGTAATCCTTTTAATTATGAGAATGCAGATAAGTTTGTTTTCCCGTCTTTCCAAGTATAAATGGCTGTGTATTATTTGCCAGTTACCAGGATGAGGGTGCATATTTTACGTATATTTAACTATTTCCTCTAATGAATTCTTTCCCGTTATCAGGGTTCTGGTCTACGTGTGATCTTTCACCGATTCATTTTGTGGGATGTGTTATATTTCCCCTCTTTTTCATGGTTCAAGTTTCATGTTTTCCCTCTTTTACGGAGTTCTAGTATATTTGTATAATTTCCCCGTGTGAGAATGCGGATGTATATATTTTTTTCTTTGATCAGTCCTTGTGTTTTATTTTTACTTTTATTCCTTTATCAGGACACGGGTGTACGTGCTGGGAGGTCGCGGGTACGGTAAAACTACTGTCATCAACCTCCTCCTGGGCAAGATGAACACCCCGACAGACCGCGGAGACATCTCTGTGTACACAGGTCGGCTTAGTACGAACATCTCCAAAGGTGAGACGGACGTCGCGTTAATGCGTGAATGTGTCAGAATCTGTCAAAATCTGATACGACTGGGCGCTGCATAAACTAATAAAACAGAAGCGAAATTGCTAGTATTAAAACGTCAATGCGTTTACGTTGTATGGTGAAAGAACTGTATACTTCCTAGTCAGGTTTGCACATTGTATGTTGATTCGGGGTCGTCGTTTAACGTCGTATTTCAACCTCAGTATGGCATTTTCCAACACACCACGATCAGAGAAGCAAACATCAGTAATATTGAACGTTTCATGTTCTGTTTACAGAGGAGAGACTGGTTGCAGATCTTCTGTTGGACATATGGGAAGTTCCAGGGGGCAGAGTATGTATTGACTATTTGGGCGAGTATGTTGTTTTATAGCTCAATTACGTTTCACTAAATCTGGCCTCGTCAATAGCTGTCAATGATAACCCGGTCTAAAAACGAACGTGTCGGACCGATCAATGCATTCCGTGTGTGTCTGGTACAAGGCATGTGCGCTGCCTCGACACTCGTTACGATGGATACACATAAGTAATTACAATTAAACAGAAATAAACAATCCCCTGTTATATTAACAATGTAAGAAATATCTGTGAAAGCATATTGATTTATCAGGAAATCCTAATTTGAGAAGTGGATTAATATTCAGACTGCGCAAAATAATAGGTTATGGTGGAATATATCAGTCAATAGAAACACGGAGTTAAAATGTACCGAAATAGCAATATATAACGGCATAAGATCCCATAATCTCAACACAAAGGGATGACATGTAGCATAACGTTTTCATACATGGACAATTCACCCAAGTGTCAACACAAAATAACGACCAATTATACCATAAGGTAAACACACAATGACAAAATATACCACAATGTCTTTATATAAGGACAATACATACATGTGCCATAGCATCAGCATAAAAGGATCAAATATACCACAGTGTCAATACGCAAGTGACATTTATTTACCATAGCATCGGCAACCAAAAACCGGATATACCAAAGTGTCAGCACAAACGGGCTAAAAGCATACCACAGCGTAAGGCCTTATACATAAGGGCAAAGGATAAAGGGATATCAACATATCAGATTAAAATATACCTAGCGATGATCTTCGGATGAAGGACTACTAGTCAACCGACAAACACAAAACAAATGGACGGCACACAAGGGCAATATATACCACAATGTCAGCACATAAGGCCAAAATGTATTATAGAGTTGACACAAAAAGGCAGAAATAACACAGCGCCTATAAATAACATACATCAAAAACGTCAACACACCATTTACACTATGGAAATCCGAAGTTGATAGGTATAAGTACCTTACCATTATTTTACTAGCCCCAATGAAACTGCCTTCATCAGACGATACTTACACTTTGGGTAATAGGTATGCACATTCACTATTCTGTTGGTCCCTATATTTGACATACCTATAGCGTATTTTTTAATTGATCTTGAACTTGTGCCCATCCCCTTTCGTTTATACTATAGTTTTGCATTAAGAACGCTGGTATACACGTTTAACCAACCTAATTGTAGATTATGTTCAGGTTTAAAACGAGCCACAAGTTTAATGAATATATTTCTTTTTTTCACACCCACATTTGAATACATTGGTTTGTTTATATTGGTTTGAACGTCCTCCGTACGGCCACGTTCACATGAGGACGGGTATTTGGAGAGACATCCCCGGAAGGAAAAACAAGATAGAAAGAAAAAAAGCAAGACTGTAAGAGAGGATTCGAAAAGATCCCAAGTGTTGCAATGGGGATAGTAAATCAATTCAGTTCACTTTCATGTCCTCTTGGTAGAAGATACGGAAGAAAGAAATCTGATTCTGCATTATTAGCATTTTACGATAACGCAATGGGATACAACAGATTTGTTCTTGGTTTCTACACTGTCAACGTAATAGAAGACAGAGGAGAAATAACCTCCTGGGTCTTCCAAGGGCCCACATTATTAGCTTCTTTAGGTCATTCAGTGGGATACTAATGCATGAAAAAAACAATTTCACATTTTGTAGCAGGTGGAAGATTTTGCAATAAACCTGTATTATTTAGTTGATAAATCAAAAGAAAACCCATGCTCTGGGTTTATAAATTGTCTCTCTATTTTCCGCTGATGTTGTGTTGTGTGTTATAAGTAGAATTACCGACATTGAAGATATTCATAAATGAGCTTGCATAATTGTTTCTATGGGCAACGATGATATTGGAAACAGAAGGCAAGGAGGCAGGCAGGTAGCTGACATCCAGGTTATTCAGAAGAGAAAACGTTTCCTGGTTTGAACAGGAATATCGGACCGATACTTCGTTTGATATAGGAAATTCTTATCTTTCCTCAGCACCTGTTCCGGGCTGTTGTTGAGGATCTGTTTTATGTATAGCCTCCCCAATGATCCTTTCAATTTCGACAGTACTACATTTGTATTTTGCTTTCGCGTTGTCCTTGTGTGTTTGACAAGGATACATGTATCAAGGTTAAGACATACAGGAGCTAAATATAGAATCTCAGTTTTTCCTTTACTCAATAAAACTAGGTTACCGGCCTTGTTTAAAATACCAAATGAACTAAGAAAAACGTTCATAGACAAAAAGGTTGCGCGTGTCTCAATTCAGAAGAGTTTAAGGGATTACAAAAATGAAGAAAAGTGACAAGACGAAACCAAATTATAATGCATGTGGGGTGTTCATGTTTTAAAGTTAAAAAGTTAATTCAAAAGTTGTACCACGAGTATAACTGATTACTTGTCTTCTGGTGTTTCTCATTTCAATCGACTCTGCTTTTGTAGTTTTTGTTTGCACATGCTTTGATGTTTTCTTTAAGTCAACAGATACATCTGGACCGCTCTATTTTGTTTAGGTACTGCGGGCTCTGTACCCTATTTTGCTGACAGAACCCGCCATCTATCTTGTCCTAGTGGCGGCCGACACGCACAACCCAGAGGTCGAGGTCATAGACATATGTAGGAACATTTTGTATAAGGTGAGTCAGATTATCTCAGGTGAAAATCTTAGATGTCGATAGGAACTCTTGTTCAAATATGAGTATGAAAACCCCGAGGTAAATGGCCTAGATTTCTGTTGAAGGTTGTTGTTTAGTCATAAATCGAATAACCGGAGTAAGAGGAGGTCAAATATATCTGTAGCAAAATGTTGTACAAATATATGAGACCGACAACAAAGCCAAAGTTGCCGTTCACAAATGTCTATCGGAAAATCTTGAACAAATATGAGTCTTCCAACCTACGGTAGAGGTCAAAGACATCGGTAGTGACATGTAATTTAAAATGAGCATGACTGTTTTAGATTGAAATGAACATGGGTCGTTGTTGGAAGAAAAGAATAAAACATTGTTTTTGTCTGTAAGCATTTTCGATTTTATGTGCAGCATTTTCTTAATCTGTTTGGTTTTGTGTTAAGACATACACAAGACATTATCTAATGTGTGGTTATACTACTGTTTATAAACATATTTATTTCGATATATCACGAAAACAAACGAACTAACAAACAATAAAATAGAAAACCTGTAATACAATACCAACGTGTTAACAACATAATAAATTGAACTCAAAATTGATAAAACTAGGGCAAACAAAGAATAAAAAAAAATGTGTCATAGACCTTCGAAAAAGTACAAAGATAATACGACCAGGTGTTCCAAATTAGTAAGCGTCTTCTGCTTCATCGACGACATCCCCAATATTAATCAAGGTCAAAGCAAGTAATATCACGTCCTGATATCGAAAACTCTTGGAATAACGACAAAACCACAAGACAAAATAATGAGTATAATAAAAAACGCATCGACCTTCATAGAACACAAATATATAACATATACTATTATACATTCACATTTAAATTTAGCAATGTCATTCACTTTAATAAACTTGTTTAAGTCAAAATTAAATCCGATATGGCAAGTTACTATATCGCATATGTATATATAGTGATTAGTTAAATTGATATAAAATTCTTTAACTCTGGATAGATAACCAAGCACATATTATAGCATGCTGTTCCAAAATCCAACTGTCCCGAAGTTGATATTGAATTTTCGTGTTACTAAATTGCAATATTTAATAAAAAAAATCCTCGGGGGAAACTGTTTTAAATCCTTCTCAACGTATCCTTAGTTCCTCAGGCGTCAATTTACTTAAGATATTTTGAACCGTGCGGTATTTTTAGGGTTTTCCTCTGTGCCGATTATAGAAGCTCAATTTCCCGTTTTGTGTGGATCGAAGACACTCACCGCGTGTCAAGAAAGTAGTCTAAGTAAGGGTTTAAACAGCTGAGAGAACACATTTTCGTCTAGATATAGAAAAGACCTTTAATGAAGCCATCAGTTTCATTAGCCTTGTGTACCAACTTGTTTTCAAAATTTTATAAATACTCCCAATCAGCAGACAGTCTTAGTTTCGAAATTGTACTTTTGGGTTTTCAAAATTGTACTTTTGGGTATACGAAATTGTACTTTTACCTAAAGAAATCCTTTGTTTGTTGTTTCAAAAAGTTATTTAAATGAACAGCTACTTCAAGCAACTTCTTCAACAAAAATATTCCTATCTGCTGCTAAATTCCATATTACTGTAATTTATCAAATTTTATATTATTGTAATCTTCCCAATACACCCTACATCTGTACTGTGTCCCCAAATCAGACAAGAGATGATTTCATTCGGTCATTAAAAACAATTGTCTGTGCATATGATAATATCATATTTAATATGATATATTTATCTATCTTCAGATTTATAAACCAAATATCATAGTGATACTTACGAAAACAAACTCAACAGCCTGTAAAAACATTAACATCGGTAACCTGTGCCGTCGTGTGAAGGATAAGTGGAACGAGGTCGTCGCTCAGTGTTGCCATGGGGACACGCCTGAAAGTAGGTAAGTGTACAGTGTTGTTGCCATGGGGACACGCATGTAAGTAGGTAATAGTGCAGTGTAGCCGAGGAGACACGCCAATAAGTAGGTAAGTGTACAGTGTTACCAAAGAGACACGCCGGTAAGTAAACAGTGTATAGTGTTACCAAGGAGACACGCCTGTAAGTAGGTAAGTGTACACTGTTACCAAGGGGACACGCTCGTAAGTAGGTAAGTGTACAGTGTTGCCAAGATGACACGTCTTGGATATACTTACGCCTGTAAATATGTACATGGTATGTATTTGTATAGTACTGTGAAGTGGATAACATTCACAAATTCGAGTTGGAATGGAATCGTGTTTTTGTTATACATGCCTACACGCGGGAAACAAATAAATCATTAATGCCATCAAAGATGGATGAACGTTAAACTGACATAGGGGACATAATGAAGCACCATTTAAATTTGGTATAAGATGTAATACAATGTATTAGAAAAATGAAGTAAATAGAGCCATGCGACTGTTTTCTCCTTCTTGGACAAATCATGATGCTGGAGACCAAAAAAGGATGAAATCTTAACTACTCTAAATTAATTTTCTTGGCAGATTGCCTTTAGATCCGGAGGTAAAATGTGATGAAGATCTACCTCCAGTTGCGACAGAAAACAATTGGTCATTGCTTGTACAGCCATTTAACTCCACCGACACGCAGGTACAGATATACTTAAATTATTATTTGAATATTAGTTGTATATGTCATGTTCTTTATCACACTTTCATAATTTATTTTAAATGAACTGCTGTATATAGATTCTTGTCAATCCAGTTATGTGAAGGTGATACAGTCTGATTACTTTAACAAGTTTTGAAAGGAATATGATATAAACCTCTAACTTTTTAGTGGAATATAACCGGGGTAGTGGTGGCTATACGAGAACACAGGGAAATTGAAGGTTACAAGTTAGTACCAGCATTGGTACAATGCTAGTGAAAGGAACTCCTTTGTTAATATTCAGAATAAACATTATTAGGGTTTTTATGCTAGAAAAATGTATTAAAAGGCAATCCGTTAGTTTGAACTAGAAACTAACTAACTATTTGAAATGTCAGAGATATTTTTACGTTGTTTCAATGCCGTTACTGATCGGTACATAGCTTACACGAATTAGTGTTTGTTCAAAATATTCCTCACTGTTGAATCTTAACTTAAAGTGTTACCCTAATGTGGCTGATTTTCCAGTGATAAACTTCTTACTGATTACCTAGATAAATGCCGTGAACAAAATGACAAATAAAGTCGTACCTACAGGTACTGGAGCAGCTAAGGCAATCACTTCTTAAATGTGCCGCGGGGATCTGTTCTGACGTTGGGTATGACCTTACCATCAAACCTACTCTGCTCCGGACCCTTCAGTTCGTCCAGAGGAAGAGGAAGGAACGCGTAGTGTTTGTTACCAAACAGCAGTTTCCCGAATCCAATAGCTACCTCACTGAACAAGCATTGAGCTATCTGCTGAAGAAGGTATTACTTTCGGTGTATCGCATACTGTCATATATCTCAGATAAATTCCTTTTTTTCTTACGTTTTATATGCTTTTGTTTATATTTGTACTTGTTAAATTGAGATATTGTAAATCATTCAAACGTCAAAAAGTCATGGATTAATATATTACCTTTTATTTTTATTTGATTACATAAATGTGTCTCACCAGTTCATTTTCGACATTCCCGACCTTTGCCATATACTAAAACCTAGTGGTAAAATTAGATTTTTAAGAGACTTCAACAAGCCGAATCGAAAGAAATCCATGGAATTTTTTGTTTGGTATCTCAACGTTATTTCATTCATATTTCAAAAACATGATGGTGCTCTGGAAACCTGCTGCTCTCAGTTTACCTGCCTTAATAATTGTTTGTGTAGTACAAATACCCCCGGAGTAATCGTTTTGAATGTTTTGCAGATAAACGTGACACAATTAAAAACAGATCATTTATTGTTGCTATTGTCAGTATAATGCACTAAACACGTCCTTTCAATATCATGCGACATTTTAAATATATGCATTAAATATAAGAAAGCCGGATAAACTAATCTTGATATGTAATACAATTAAACCTGACCAGTATATCTGATCATGCCTACTTTACTGGCCAGGACTATGTGCGAGAGTTCCGGTTCGTGCCGGACGATGAGTCGTCTAGAGTTATCTGTGTGGATTCACTCGCCTTTTCAAACCTTGTGGTGAGGTCCCATCTAGACGCAGGAGGACATGTGTTCCGCCTTGAGGCCGGAAAGTTCTGGCCTTCAAACATGGACCGGACACCACCAAATCCTGAAGTGTTGGCGAGGGTGTTGGAGCAGCTCCAGTCCAGCGGGATGGTTCCAGAGTCTTTCCTGCCTCTACTCTGGAATGTAGGTTGCTTTTTCAGCTGTAAACGTTTATGAACACATCATGATAGCAAATCCCCCTGTATATCTGGTTATCCTGAACGAAATGAAATGAAAATGAAAGTGAAAGCGTGTACGTATAAATGAGCCAAGCATTAAGTTCTATTTTGAAATACATTTGTTTTTGCTTTGTGTGATTCAAATATAAGATACTAGTTAATGGTGTGCTATGATCTTATTTTGTAAACATCTATAATAAAAACCTAACTACGTGTCAAAATGACATTATACAACCGATTGTTTCTCCTCCGTATTTAAACATTATGACTATAAGGATAAATTCGTGTACTTGTTTTTTTTACAAAGTGTTTTAAGCGCCAGCATGATAATGATACTGTCTACCAGAAAACTTTCACACTTTCGCCTTCTAAAACGGGCGAATTTATTATGACAGCTTCAATACATACCACTTCATATATAGTAAAACACATAAAAGCCGAAATTAACACTGAGCAATTATGTATTGTACAATTCAAGAGCATTTTGGCTGGGAATTAAACAATTATTGTAGTTAATTTAATATTTACGTTATCATTTTAAGTAATTCTGAAATGAAATAGATTATCCGTTTCATTCATTGATTCCGTAAGAAATGGGAAGAAAACGTTATAATATATTTGATAAACTGATTTAACATTTTCACGAGGAAACCCCATGTAGTACATATGTAAAATGACATTTCTTTTAATACCAGGGTCTGATGGAATTATATTCCTTTCTTGTTTCCAGACACCGTACATTCGCCAGGACCACATGTACTTGACGATGGGCGTGATGGAGTGTCTTGGACTAATCTGCCACGCCAATACATACGGACAGGCCTTGGACCCTTCTCCTGTCCTGGACATGCCGTTCTTCAACTACCTGTCTGGTGTCCGTATACGGCACGTCATGTTAATGAACAAACTCACAGAGGTCAAACCGGTAAACCAAACTTGTATACATCATTTTATTTCCCAGAGATTTAAAACTGCATGGTGTATATGTCCCCTAGAGACTTAAAACCAGAGTTGTATATGTATCTGATAGAGATTAGATATGATTATTCATAGTTATACATATATATGAATAATCATATATATTCTCTATGAGATACATGAGGATATATATGTCTAACTATGAATAATTATATTTAATCTCTATGAGATTCATGATGTTGTATATGTATCTTATAGAGATTAAATATGATTATTCATAGTTATACATATATATCCTCATGTATCTCATAGAGATTAGATATGATTATTCATAGTTATACATATATATCATTGTGTACCTCATAGAGATTAGATATGATTATTCATAGTTATACATATATATATCATTGTGTACCTCATAGAGATTACATATAATTATTCATAGTTAGACATATATATCCTCATGTATCTCAAAGAGATTAGATATGATTATTCATAGTTATACATATATATCCTCATGTATCTCATAGAGATTAAATATGATTATTCATAATTATTCATATATATCCTCATGTATCTCATAGAGATTAAATATGCTTATTTATAGTTATACATATATATCATTGTGTACCTCACAGAAGTCTACCCAAACATTTTATATATTATTGTATTTCTCATTGATGTCAAACTGTTTCCATAGTTTGTATATGTTACTGTGATATTCGCAGAGGTCAACAAATAAACCATGGTTTTATTGTATGGCGTACCTCGCTGAACTCAAACTATTAGATCACAGTTTATAATCTACCATTTACTTCATTAAGGTAAATTTAGAAAACCATGGTTTTGTTTGTTTAATTTCTTACTGTGGTCAAACATTTAACGATATTTATGGTATATTGTGGACATCGCTGAATCATTTTGAATCATTTTTTATTGGGTTTTATCTTGGCTTACAAAATCGATTTTTTTTGCTATGAATTGAGGCTATAGTGTTCCCAATCATTTAATAAGTGCATGCATAATCGTATCATCCCACAATAGCCTAGGGCACCACAGCGACTGATATAGATGATGCCTTTTTATGTAACGAACATTTGGCGGACTCTCTATAAAGCATATATCTTCTACATTAAAAGATACGTTTTGGTCTGATCAAAACATCTAGTGACACTGTTACCTGCATATTTCCAGTAAGAAATCTTCTTGTGTCCTATGTCCTATAGGTCCTGCATTGGACGGACAACCCACACAAGGGAGACTTCCAGATAACAGTACATTTCTGCTGTCCGTCCGGAATGCCTGTCGGTGTGGTGTTGCGGGTACTAGCTTTGTGTCTAAATGTGACGAAGCCCTTCACCCAGTACAGCCATATTTGGCAACAAGGTGTCCTAATACAGCTGGGGCACGAGGTAACTATGTAGAACAACTTCATGTATCTTAACTGTCGCCCTGAAATATACGTATGATTTCGTAGGGATTTATTTTGTTTATGTTGAAGATCATATGGAGGTATTGTTACAAAACAAACAAAAAACTAAAATTGCACAAATTCAGGTGATATTGATTTTTGTCTCAAAATCATCTTATATGTAATTCTTCACAACATGAACTTGAACATTCCTAGATTTGCATAATCATATCCAGATACTGAAAAGTGGTATCAATATTTAAACACTACTCAAACTCTGAAAACTTATAATAAGGCCGGAATAAATATTCGTTTCAATATCAATTACATGCGCAAATAAATTGGGTATCATTTGGTAGTTTCGGGGAATTAACTTAAGTACAATTAAAAATGTTCATAAATAATAATAATTTTCTTCGTTTAACAACCAATGCAATCGTTTCTAAATGATATGAATGCTAAAGTGTTTTCTTTTCAAATGGATAATTTCATTTACCTAAATATAAACCCGTATTTACCAAATTTTGTTTGAGAATTAATGACTCGTTTTACATATATTGATAATAGCGACTATTGGTATAATCGTGTACAGAAAGTGTTAAAACTGGTTATTTTTCAAAACATATAAGCGCATATTTACCATTGTCAATATTAACCCCCATTCAGGTGGATATAACGATTTCAATAATATATCACCATCCTAAAGTTGATAACTCCATGTATCAACTTCAAAAGAGGAAAAAACGTATTCTATTTTATAGCGATAGGCGTCTCTGTTGGGTGAAGAAACTGAGATTGCTCTTTGCCCACCTTAAGACGATGAAGATCTTTATAAGTTCATTAAGCTATTGACCTAATATATTGGGAGGAAACTATCTTTGTCAATTATTAATGTTAAAACAGGTGAAGATACACGTGCACGCCTTTACTAATGAGCTGGACTTTACTGCACGCGTGGTGTCGGATTCGTACTCTGACCTAAAGATGGCTACACAGGTGTTGTGGATGACTGTCGCGCCCTGCCTTGGCAGTCTGCTTGAATTGTTATCCTCGTTCCCGGGACTAGCCATAGAGGTAATACAAATGTAGCGAGCATGCTATGTAAAACCAACGCAATGTTTCTAGTTACAGATTAGGTGCTACAAATCATTTTATATGATATTATTCAATTATAGCCTTTGCTTGAGGTCGATACCTGGATTTATCAATCGAGAAAAGAAATATTAACCGAGGACGCAGGCCAATCATTAAATAATAACGAATAATATGAAAACATAATAAATCATTATAATTTGTATCTACTTTAATTATTAGTAATTGAATACCGAATGTAGCAATAATATATACATGGATAGGGAATAATATCGTTGACCGATTGGGATATTACTAATCACAGTGTGTGGTAAGTAAAATTGACGACACTAGAGGAAAATATGAACACAGAAACTATTGGCACGTAGACCCATGGATTAATATAATGATACCCGCCATGTAAATCCAGGTTTCATCCAAGTATATGTAATATCACCTTCTTCACATAGTAATAACCTATGTATTGACAACGAAATACTAATGCTTATTATCGACCTTCGTGTTGTACAAAGAACAGAATAGCTCCCATTTAATCATAATGACGACCATATAACTTGACCATACATACATGTAACATAATGTACTGTATTTCATCATCAACTTTTGGAATAATTGCGTCGATACATCATTTCCGACAGCTAAGTGTTATTGACTTGTCATAATGAATTCTCTCACTTGTGACTTTGGAAATGTGACTGTTCTGGAGGGAAAATGCGCGTTATTCTGCTCACGGGCGTTACAAACCAAGAGAGACAACTCTTTAATATTTCACAAATCACATACACAAAAAAGTCACGTTTTGTATTTACACTTTTATGTTTCAGACGTACCTGAGTTTCCGAGGTGACCCTAATTTTGATGAGGTATTTAGAAGGTCAAGTACTGACCGGCGACTGACCATTGACCAGCTCGTTTCTAAACAGCTGCTGTTACACACCGAGTCGGTGTCGTCTAAGTGGCTCATCCCCTTTAAAGGTAGGGCCGATCCCAAACATATACTAACATGCATATTTACTGAAACATGGACAAATAAGGTTCAACCTAAAAATGTTAACAATATACATACCGTTCGATTGGGAGGAATGAGATCGCTATGTCGGCTAGTAGATGTTTTGTTGTATATTAGATAACCATGTTAGCGTACGTTGATACTTAGAGCACCCTCCTCAAAATGAACGGCATTTGTGACATATCAAAGCATGCATGAGATATGTATTTGAGCCGCAGTTTAGCACAGATTCTGTTGTGCATTGAATGGATCTCGGCAAAACGGTTGAATTCCTGCGGCAGCGCTAAAGCAATCTGACCATTGGATTGAATGATTCAACCTACGTGATATCCTCCTCTTCAACTCCTTAATTGAGTTACTGGGAGAAGTAAGGGCTGCACGGGGACTGTCTGAGATGAGGACATACTCACGGTAGACAGTAAATACAAACGGCTGTGAATTATATTGGAATGTAAGTTGACACTGCCGTACTATTACGCAGCAATAGGATAGGATTTCCGAAGAAAACGGCCATGCGATTCGCCAGAGTGACTATTTTGTTTTCCGGTTATCAATCTGCATTATTAATATATTCTGTCATCAGATAGTTCAAATACTGTTAACTAGCTAATGTATATATATATTTTTTTTATTTCAACAGATTTATTGACTTTATATGTCAGATGGATTGGACTCGGGCTAAGCCTATTTAAGTCGTTTCCAAACTTATTTACAAACTGTCATAACAATCCAAATAAAGAGTGTAGGGAGATAACACTAAATTAGCTTGTGATATAAATATTTTTCAACTATTATTTAATTGTTTTCTGTTTATGTTTTGGATATTAACAATTAAATATATCATGTATAAACAAATGGAACACTTTGGCCAAATACACATTTTGTAAAATTTCAGAATATGATATGGATTCATATGGAAAATGTAGCTATAATTATCTATTATTGGAGATGATTCTCTTAAAAGTCATCAATCAAATCACTATAGAATAATCGTTAAACTATATAATAACTAGAACAGGGTTTAAAGTAGTAATCGTAAATTCCATCCAGTTCAGTAAAATACCAGGGATGATGTGAAGATAGACATACCAGTATCAATATTTGTCAGCAGAGTGACACTATAAATAGTAACTTCACTTTCAACGTAAAGTTTGGTTGTGAGTGAGATTACATATCAAGTCTATTAGTTTAACGAATATAGTCAGATATGTTTCATAGAATGTATTTGTTGGTATCAGTGCTGCATATTATGCACCCGTTCATTCAATAAAGTTTATAGATTTAAATGACCATGGTGATCACTTAAACCAAATTGGGAAATGTTTTGTACTAATTGCATTCTAATGTTATTACAGAGTGGGCATTCAAATATAAAACGAAATGCATTTTCATTTCCATGTCCACATCTACATGCTGGTGTGTCATTCAGATGATCCATACACAAGTCACTTCTTAGGTTGTTGTAGCATGATTTCGAAACTGACAAATTATAATATTAAATATATATATATATATATATATATCTTTACCTTCTTCTACGCTTTTCGTTAATCTATTGTTTAACGAGCAAATACTTTTAATAAGTATCTAAAAAACATAGTCATTAATTAAACATAAAACATACTTTATCATCTTCTGACGTTGTAGTGGACAGCTCTGTGACGTCATTCGAGACTTGGCTAGCGTTTCTAATGGCTAATCGGAAGGATGTGCTGCAGATTCTTGCCCCGGACTTGCTGTTTCCACCCGATCCAAATTCACTTCCAGTGAACGTTTCTACTGATAACATGCCTCGGAAAACCACAAGAAAGGTACGTTTCCTTAGCAGAAGACTCGGTTTACACATTTCACGCATGTTTTGCTTGTGTTACACAGAAACTTATTTAATTTAATGAGAGTTTACATTTTTTATTGAATCTGTTAAACAGGATTAAAAACAATAATTGCAAAGAGATTACCCACAATAGGTTATGTTGACATTATAATACCGGTGTATTTAAGCATATGTTTTTTCACTGTCTGATATATACTTTTACTGATATATTTCTAAATATAAATAATATCTATAATCTGCAATGCTGTTAACGGTGCTGACAATCTGTTTTTGTATTAGCTATTCCATACATTACTTACAGACTTCCAAAGTGAGCTGGAATATTGAAAATAAAACCAACCAAACAAACAATAATAACAACTCGGTTGCAAGAAAACAGGAAGCGCTGAAAGAAACTGCTCTATGTAAGGCAGATACCCCTATCATAACTTCGGTCAAATTGGCATCTGAAACGAAAAGTGCTCATGTGTCGCCGACTAGCAATCAAACGGCTTCCTCACACCAGGGGGTGCACCCAGGATTCGATGAACAGATAGCACTCAAAGTTGCATCGTCTCTGTCCGCGGCAGTTCTATCTTCAAGTGTAGCGAGGTTCATGGAAGAGGAGAACACCGTCCGCCGTACATGGTCACCTGCACAGGTAACAACGATGTTGTTGGCTTTACACGTTAAGTCGTAACTTGATTTTACATACAGTCGCAGGTATAGATAACGCAGCTGAGGCAGTCAGTGTTTGGTCGCCGGTAAAGGGAAGACAGCATACTGAATATCGTGCATCATTATTTGCATGTTTGAGTTCCGGTAATGCCTCTGGATCTTCAGGTTTCAACCCAGTATTTGTTTGTGTGCTTGATGTCCTTCCTTATATTTTGGTATGCCGTCAGTTCCTGTTTCGGTGTTTCTTCCATTCATGTTGTCATTTTGTATTGACCTTGTTGTTTGATGCTTTCCCCTTTTGATGTCTCTTCGGTTCTTGATGTTATTCCTAAAGTCCTGAGCTATGCTTCATGACACAGTTGAAACACTCATCTCCTTTCAATCATATATTTAACAGTTGAATTGTAATATCTAACAGTCTGTACGAGTGTTTCATCGTGCAATAATGTTCTTGCATCTCTCAATATGCAAGACCTAAACTACCCCACATAGGCGCACCCTGTGACCTTAAATTAAAAAGAAAATCGTTTACTTTAGTTTTGGATAGGAAGTGCATGCAGTTTGTATTAGTTCTGAAACCTGACATCATTTCAATGTTCGACTAACATCGTTACATCAGTTTGATCATAGGATCATAGAATATCCACCACCGAAAACAGTCCTCATGACAATAGCCAGTCATTAAACGAGCTTACTATGGCGCATTTGTAGACTGCTTCGGTTTGTAATAAAACCTTCAATAAATGTCATACTTCTCTCTGCTCATTCCAAACATTTCTTGGTTATGTCTATTATCTAGATCATCTTCTATAATAGTGGTTGCATTCATAAGTGTCGATTTTACCAAAACCCCATGTAAGAGATGGGTGAACAAAATAGTTGGTAAGAACGTATGTTAAGTAAAAATATGCATGGGTGTTGATTTTCCACATCTGCCATACTTACATATGAAAACTATGATAAACACTTGTAATGTCTACTCTAATTCATCTAACAGGTTCTTGCCGTGCGTGAGATCTCAAGACTGTCATCTTCGGTATGGGAGGGAGATATGACCAAAATTTCCTCTGCCATCTCAAATGCTGTAGCAAACAATCAACGATCATCGGACGTGAAGGTCTCGAACGGTCACTCACCGGCCATCCATTCTACGAGGTTCTGCGTTGTGTTGTAAGATAGCAAGGGCTATTTAGTGGTAATTTATACTTGTTCTAGAGGACCACAAAGAATGGTTGGGTTCAATGTAAATTTTAAGGACGACGGGGGACAAGACTGAGCTCTGCTGCCTTTAAAGAACCACGTGACGTTGTAATGTACAATAGCTATACAGACTAAAAGGTAATATTATATATGATGTGGGTGAAATCGTATATATATATATATTTGATAAAAAGTCGATCTTGTACGTTGTCTCACCCTCAGCACTAGTTCTGTGGGATAGTGGATTTGCCTTCTCAAATTAAGGATATACAAACTTTGAACAACAATTGGACAGATCACCTGTACAACAATGACCTTGTCAACGTTGTCCATTCTATAGTTATGCATTTAAATATCATCACGTGATCCGCGCACCTTCAATGTATTATTTCCATTCTATATAGACAAAACGTCCTTCCAGAGTGGTAAATCTATTGATTGGTGTGAGTAAGTACCGTTCATGTTGAATAGTATCAATATGCATCATGGCGCTATATGATAAATATAAGCCAATCAAAACAATAACAATTCATACAAACAATCAAACGAGAGTATTCCCGTTTGATCTTTCATGTTAAAATCTGAATGTGCTTCAAAGGGCTTCAAAGAGGATGATATCTATCATGTTTGATGCATGCTTGATTTAACAGGTGTAGCTAGAAGAGATTTATCACATTGCTTAAATACAATCTATGATTATTGAGTATGTATACTTTATAATTTATTTTTATAACAGTTCTTGGAACTTTGTTCATGTATGCATAGATACAGTTCGGTAATTGTGAAACAAGAAAAAAAACTGTTAATGAGATTTAATTGAAATATATAATTAACGAAATCTTAAAAGTCAGATTATAGGATAGTTAAGATGGATATGTACATATTCGTCATATTGGAGTTCAGATATGTTTTTTATATTGTAAAACGAGATTTTGGAATATTATTTATATCTAGGAAATATATATTTCTGATCGGGTTTTGTCATGCAGCTTTAGAATAACACTGATGACGGTATAGAACACAGTACCGTTCGAACAGATCTCAACATGCGCGGTAGTTCAACTTGAAGAATATATTTGAATGGTACAGTTTTACGTACCATCATAATGTTTACAAACGCAAGATGCATTTCAACCCTTTAAATTAGCGCATGAATTAACAAAGAAGATTATATTTTGTTTTCCATTAAACTGTTTTATCAGATCATAGAACAGCCACTTACGGCACACGAATCTGCTTTCCAAGTTTTCCATGGTGACTATTTTCATCGGGCAACAAAGATCAATCAAATACGTTTTAAGAATGCCCGTGAAAATGTTATTGTGGGGTCACGGCACGATTGTTGTCCGATTATTCTTATAGTATGACGTAAAATCCTAACAGTTTCATATTGGAAAGCATTCACTTGTGATAGTTAATTTCTGTTGTTGATTATATCAACAATCTATGTTTCTGAGACAAAGTCTCAGCTAACCTAAGCAATTGCCTTTGTTAGTCGTCATGCTTCGTCAGTAGTACAATTCATATTTTGCACTTCTTGATATATAGATTTTGACACCATGGGCCTGAAAGGCTTGCCAAAAGTAGCCGAAATGGCTGAAATTTCAACCCCCAGACCCAAATATGCTAGAATCCAAAACGTGTGATAGGTGGGAAAAGTCTAATGCGGTTTCATTTAAATTGTGAAATGCATTACATCCGGATCATCCATTATATACTGGGAGTGATAAAGTCTAGTAAAGCTTACAAAAGCACGTTTTTGTTGTTTTGAATTATTATTATGGGATGGCAGGTCATGTTGATGTTAGTACAATTTAATCCTTAAGACTTAAGGGTCGGGCACAAAGAGAAAAAAGCTAAAGTTTGAACAATCTTTTTCATCAGTTGAATGTATTGTAAAAGAAATAACTATTCATTGATACAAATATGCTAAGATGCTGTATCAAGTTATGAATTCCGTTACCCCACGATCATCCATTACCCCCTTGGGAGGGGGTTATGTTGACATAGGAAACTACATTTTTTGTTACTTTTTTTTTATTTTCAGTCATTATTTTCAGTGGGAAATGATTATTATTGTGCAGTGTGAAAAATGAAGACCCTATCTCACCATCTGAGCCGTATGACCGGGGTCCAGAAGGGCAAATTTGCAAAAGACAACATTTTGTCCAGACCCAGCTATTCTAAAACTAAAGACACCTCATTATTAAAAGGCCCTCAGATGGTTTGTCAAATTTTAAAATGTCATTATTATTCCCCATTTATGAGGGGAGGGGATGGGGTGGGGATGGGTTTTATAATTTACAACTACTATATTTTATGTCATTTTATAATTTTACTGTTTTCTGACAATCACTAGTTTTATATATAATACATGTTGGTCACTCCCTAACATCATTTTGTTAGAGTATCTGCAGTCAACAAGCCAGTTTTGGGTTTTGTTTTATTTATCGTTATTTTGCGTCAAATCACAACAACAAATAATTATATTATAACTCAGATGACCGTTAAGGCCTGTTTATGATTTGTAGGATTATCTGATACAATGGTATAAAGCCTGTGATGTAAAGAATGTTCAAATCTGTGTAATAACATGGTTATAAATAAAAACGAAAGGAAATGCTTTGTTCTGTGTTCATTTATTAAATTGAATTGAGGTCTGTAAAATGTATCCTTTAATTACGTTTTCTTTTAGAATAAAACGAACACGTCAGTTTAAAAGCGAGGACAAACGATTGATAATGTTTGTGTCCGTGAAGCCCTTGCTTAAATCAAGTTAATTATGTATGCTCTATTTTGCTCAAAGGAAGAACTAGTATACAGTAAATAATCGAAGCATCACACATCATGCATCCAGACATTTCTCATTATGAGGTACACCTCGCACGGAGCGGAGAAACGGACATCGAAACTAGCTAATTCGGGGTATATCTCGAAATCGTTTTTCATTGCAACTCTGTTAAATATCCCTGTTCCACTTGAAAAACAAAATCATTTCGTATTAAGCGTCTAAACGTTCATAAAAAGAATATGCCCCTAGATATTTTGTTTACGTCGCAAGAGAAAGGCACCCAAACAAATATTATTTTTAAATAACTGGTTGTATATGAATATTATTACGAATGATTTGAACGGCTTAGAATCAAATAATGATTATATTGTGTTATGCTGTTCATGTTGCATTGTGTGTTGCTAGCAAAGAAGTACATGAAAGCAGCTGATGAAGAATTGTATCATAGTAAGTGATGAACGAAGGCAGTATTTCTGTTTAGTATCAAGCATGGTAGTGTACAGAGAAGCAAATGTTAAAAAAAAAAACTTTTTTGAAAAATGATGTTAAAGATTGTTCAAAAAATCCTTTGACAACTACTTGAAAACCCACATTCTATTCGTTCAGCTTCTAGAGTATAATGTGCAACCACACAACTGTAGAATCATTTTACTTGAATTTCCGGAATAAAAATAGCAATAAGGCAGTTCCGTATCTTAGCATTAACCGGTTTGTTTTCGTAAGATATATAAACAGAAGTAAGTAAAGCTAGTATTTTTCCTCCGATTTTGTTTGTTTTCTTAGTTATCAATTAATACAAGATTAATACAATTAATTAGTCATAATAAGTCAGAAATCGGGATGTACATGTTCCAGTCCATGTAAAGCACTTCATATCACTGATGTTTATATACCTACATTTTTCGAGAATCACTGACACTATAATATGATATGAGAACAAGACGTACAAAAATAATATAATAATTACCTGACCCTAATTAGTCTTTGAAGTTCCCTATCAGTCATACGAGATATATACATGTACTAGCGCTTAGTACACATATCCTAGAGCATTTGTGATATAGATACTTATGATCAATACACATATCGAGATACTTTTATTAAAGATTTACAATTGATTACCAGGGTTTTTAAAAAGTAATTGCATTATACATACGACCTACGCAAGCCGAATATAAACCATACAAAAAGGTAGGGTCAACGCCTATGTATATCTAACATTAGCGTCGGCCCCCGCTTGGAATTTAAAAACAAGATTAATACAAAAAGGTATGGGTAAAGGAAGTCTAAATCAGGAATAGTTAGTTTGAGAATTTATTTTATGACAAATGGGACCTCATTGACTTACACCTGTGTGGGTGTTAAATGTGCGGTAATACAACTATCCTGATGCATTTAAATGACACAATTATTATACAATTATATCATCATTGCGTGCAACGTATTCCAACTATTATTTTGATACCAAATATTTCAAGAAAGAATTGTTCTTCTTAGTGAATATTTAAGCAGAAAAGTATGTGAAATTCCATTACCAACGAGAAAATTCCAATATTTGACCCGTTAATTAACATAATTTTCATATTTGCTTAAAAGTTGGCTACTAATAATATCTTTCAGCATTCAGCATGAGGATTTCTAAAAAAAAATGACAACCGGTAAATTGGTCATTTAACACCTTTGATTAAAAAGAGGAAACACATTTCTTTCAATTTTCCCTTTAAAATGTGTTTCTTCATAACCAAAAGTATGTGGGTCTTGATTTTGGCAAGTAAGTTGTTTTTGAGAATGGATATTAGTTTGGTAAACATTGTTGACCTTGACCTTCGTTCAAGATCACATGACTGAAATTTGTTAAAATAGTTACAAAATTTGCTTTAGGAATTGAAATTGAAATATTTAGTCAGTAGATCTATATCAAACTTGTAATTAAGGTCAATGGTCTAAAACGTAGTATACAACTTAATATCTAATAGTCACCGGTTTTGTTTTTGTCAGTTTATGTCATTGTGGCACTTCAAAGAAGTCAAAAAGTGATGGTAGAGTTGCAGTACTACATACATTGAATGACTGAAATGGCTAAAACAGCTCAAGTGATTGCTTGTTTGAACTTGAGTGTCGCATGGGCTGGTAGGATGTGGTCTTGATGGCGTTCATGACCTAAGACATACAATAGGCATGCAACATGTGCACACATCCCAACTGTTCGCTTGCCTGCCGTAGTAATCTTCGACATGATCATCTTGGTCATTTCTATCAAACGCAATCCAAACATTGTATTTTTGCCTGGAATGGAGTTGGCCTCGTATGAGGTTTTCAGCATACTGATAGACCCACTCTTCAAAGTCCCCAGCCGTTGTCAGATGCTCTGCGATGTACCTTTGCGCTACTTTTAGTTGGTTTGATTCGTATGTTACCGTCTCGAGATACTCCATATCGAGTATAGGGAACTCGATTGAACAAGCGTCCAGCTTCACCCAGTTGACCTTGTTGTGTCTAGAAAGGTCGAACTCACCAGCCTTGCGGTCATGGTATTATGCAGAGCCAAACGGGATTGCATGCGCAATGGTCCCTTAAGTCCTTCCCTGGTGTAGACACATACATCGGGCCACGTACAGCGTTTAAAGAAGCTGTATCTGCTTTTACCAGTTCCCCTATGATGATGAGGAAGCAGTTTGAACCGAGTTGCTCTTTGCACAATTTCCACTGTTTCAATCGACCATAGTAACTCTCCACTACCCATCTGGACTTTGTTCGATGGCGGTCCTCGTTCGCAATCAGTGTATCATGCTGTATCTGACCTGGCAGAAAATAAGAAGGCATGTACACAGAAAACCCTGTACCTTGCAGCAGGTCTTACACATTCCTAAATTCCCGGTCAACAATGACATTGTCCTCATTACTGAGCCTAAAGGTCAGGATTTCCACTGTTGCAAGTATTTTGTCAGGATCTTTGCATCATTAACATTCCCATAAAACGGCCCAATAGTGTCAAGTACATAACCGTCTGGAAAGACAATGCTCATACACTTAATGTTTCTTTTGTCCACAGTATGATAATCTTTTAAGGGGGCGATCAGCACTTTTTCGGACATAGATGTATGTACCATCAAGGATTACAGTTGCTTTGTCCCCATAAAACACATATTAAACACAGTGCTGTGACCTTTGGCATCCTCACGACTTATGTGTTTGGACCCAGGAACCCAGGCACAACGGTCTGACTCAACGCCTTTAAGACGCTATGGAATGTGTGAGACATATATTGTATTTTTGTTAGACCACACAAGACACCAAGTTGAGACCATGAAATGTTGGTCTTAAATTTCACCCAGAAGAGAAACAAAGCATGGAACGTAAAGGAATATGACCCTCTATTGATGTGGTAGGAGCAAATGCTGTGAATCTTCTTCAGTTGCTCAAGAGTATACCTTGTCAAAGCTTTACATTCCTCTTCACTGAGATGGTCGATATCAATGCCTGCACTGGTTGGGCTACCTGCAGATAAAAAAATGACTCAGTTCAAGGAGGTCATTTATCACCTGACCAGCTCTGTCTTGGAGATGGAGCTCTAACGGTTCCCTTGTTTGCATGCCATGGCATATTGCATAACCCAGAGCTCTCTTTACCACAGATGACACACCTTTTATGTGAATTTTCAGCATAAAATAAACTATCAACAGAGATTAGTGGTAGCTGGTTGGTTAACATTAAGTTTGTGTAAGCGTCGTCAACATCATTGTCTGTGTCATCTGGAGTACTTACACCTCTAGGTTCACCAAACATAGATGTCAATGATCTTTGTTTGAGGTAGCGCTTGTAACATTTACCACATATTATTATTTCCTCTGATATACTGATATGCTCAGCAATCAGTATTTGCTGCAGCCAGTTATACTGAGATAAATATGCATGTCGTATTTGAGCTCGAGATCCTTAAGATAAATCTTTCAATCTGGTTTTGCAACCATGACCTATACACACATCTACATTCCATCATGGCTATAGAGTAGGTGAACTTCAGAAATCAGCCTAACACTTTAGTTGTTAATACAGAATATCTTACTTAGATGAAAGTGAGCTTTCTGAAAATGGTTTAACTACAATTATTATAGCTATACATACATGTTGCCAGAAAATAGATCACTTGTATGGGATGTCAGACAAGGTTATCTTTTTCTTGCTTTACATGTTTAGAGTCAAAGATATGAAATTATGTAATATTCCTTCATGTTTTGTTTAATAAAATGGAAAAGACAAACTAATAATCACATGCTTATTAGTTTACTTATTTATTGTCTTTATGCATCTGCATATCTTTGTCTATAAAACAATCTCAACCGCAGGTAGTTATCCAGAGGAATGATTATATAACAGAAAACCAAAATTATGAGTTATTACTGCTACACATAACTTAAAAGCATGCATAATATTATGAATTGGTTTGGTATGATACAACAATAGAAAAAGTATTGGTATTAACCATAACAACAATGATAATCAAATCTTCAGGATTATGTGAAATTGTGCATTTGCCATGTTTGCCATGCTAGAAAAGTATTTTACCTGTTTAGATATTACATAAAAATGATTCTGTAGACTTTAAAGTTTTTAAAGAAGTATATTCTGTAGACTTCAAAGCTTTTAAAGAAGTATAAAATATGGACTAGCATTGTAACTATACAAAATCAAGTTGACAATGTTGGACATATTTTAAATTTTGTGAAAATTGTGCATGCTCTTCTAATTAAAAGTATCACTACGCTTAACTCTTGTATACCAATATGTCATATTTAGTATCAAAATAACAGTAATTTATTTTCAAAATTACATTCGCTCGTGACATTTATCTGTCATTTTATTAGGATATCCCCGTCACTCAACCTGTATAATAGAAGTAAGTCTAAACGAGACCTGTTGCATCTATTACTAAAGTAGTGAAGGGATTATATTAGGTGTAGCTTGAGGACATGTGTCAGGAAATGCAGTCTGTGTGCTGAAATGTAATTCGTTTTCATGTCAAATTAACAGAAATCATGGAAAAGAAAAATCAACAATTCTAAATAGGATGATGATCCTTTTTCCTCAGAATATATAAATATATCTATTGTTTTAGAAGATTTCTACCTCCATCCATTCTTTCTTGGTCAGCGTATACCGAATACTGCATTATTGATTAACCACTTGTAAAACCATAGGTCAAATATGATCATATCAAAAACATTTACTAAAGCTGTATAAAATTTCGCAATCATTGCCATCAATACTAATATCAATACCACAGGTAATGCTAATCAGTAATAATACCACCAAGCTTCCTTTTAAATCTTCTTCACTTAATCCCTACACATATACTGTTGTGTATTGATCGCGATTCTATCATTGTGTATGGGTGTTGGTGTAGTGCAGGGAACAATGAAGGACTGCTCGCGGTCTTACTGTTTACATGGCGTCATGGCAGCACCAACACTGTCGCGTAGCAGACTACGCGTGTACCCCCGTAACAAGTCACCTGGGCGGTCAGTCGTGTAGTGTGGCGGGATACTCGGAGCTTTAATCTGTCACCATGGCTATGCCAGGTAAGATGTATTTAAAGTATTATTAAATGATCGTAGATTATAGATGAGACTTATTATTTAGTAAAACCCACGTAATCTATTTATAACACACAACTAGCATTACCGTTCTATTCTTGTTCCGAATGTCAGTGACAGCATCACATTATCTCGTGTATTTAAAATTATCTAAGCACTATTTATATTTTTGTGCAGAAATGTTGTTAATAGTATATGCAAAAGGATTAGAGAAAGATATGTCATCGGTACACTATATACTGATATATAGTTGGTATTATGTATTGATATATAATTAGTATATTCTAATTATATATATATCACTGGCACCCAACTACATGTATACCTGTAAGTGGTATCTAAGCGGTGTTTGTTTCGTAGTTAAGATATTGTTTGCTTTTCTCTATTAATAAAATATCGGCTGATGTCTCGTCATCGCTTTCTGTTATGTATACATATCTGCTTTTTCATGCTGTAGGATCAACTACAGAACAAGAGTTTGAAATACTCTGGGTCAATACCTGTTGTAATGTTAATCCGATTGTACTCATACATGAGAAAGAGCTCACACTATAGTACGTAGAGGGTATCAGGTCAGCTATTCAATTTCATAAACCATCTAATACAATATGTAATTAACCTGCACCTTATCACTGGACATTTACTAGTTAATACATTAATATAAACGGTCAGTCTTGAATACTCAATGTTCTATTATATTCACACACATATATATATACACATTATTCGTTTCTATATACTTATAAATCACGATTGGATATTCACAAGTGCTCGTATTATACACATTATGTACATAACTCATTACTGGCACCTACCTCTACGTTTAGTGTGTGGAGAGTGTCAGGTGACCAAACAGATTATGATATACATAGTACATTAGTCAGCGATGTAGTACTAACCTCAAACTCATTACTGGCACCTACCTCTACGTATAGTGTGTGGGGAGTGTCATGTGAACAAACAGATTAGTCAATGATGTGGTGCTAACATAAAACTCATTACTGGCACCTACCCTACGTATAGTGTGTGAATGGTGTCAGGTGAACAAACAAATTAGTCAATGATGTGGTGCTAACATAAAACTCATACTGGCACCTACCTCTACGTATAGCGTGTGAACGGTGTCAGGTGAACAAACAAATTAGTCAATGATGTGGTGCTAACATAAAACTCATTACTGGCACCTACCTCTACGTATAGTGTGTGAACGGTGTCAGGTGAACAAACAAATTAGTCAATGAGGTGGTGCTAACATAAAACTCATTACTGGCACCTACCTCTACGTATAGTGTGTGTGGTGAGTGTGAGGTGAACAAACAAATTATAATATACCTTAGTCAGTGATATAGTGCTAACCTCAAACACAATACAACTACCTATATCTATGTATAGTGTTTTGAGAGAATGTCAATTGACCCAACAGCTTATAACATACCTTGGTCAGTAACTTGTAACCGTATAGTACAAAGTAATTACTGGTACAGTATTTAAATGCATCATATTGTTACCAAAATAGTAAACCAAAAACGTTCTGCCGTCATGCCCAACCTGACTATTTACATTAAACCTATGGTATTCTTCAATAAAACAAAGGATTATGATACGATGCTACTATATAAATTTGTATCTAAACAAAAACAGTGGTTTATTAGGTCGTATTCTTAGTTCAATACGAACACAATTTTTAAAATGTGAAAATGCCGGTTGAAGGTTATATAACGGCATGATGATAGTTGATACATACCTGTCACTCATTATTTCTATAAACATAATCGATGCAAAACCATGTTGTCTTAGAAAAAACCAATGCATCATCAGCTATGTTTCAGCAATGCTATGTGCGTGTTCTTATATTCCATTTTTGTTTACTTTCAGGATCGTTCGACCAGAATCCACAACGTGAGTATTGTCTACCCTTTCTTGTTATAAATATATATGTATCTAAGACAGAGGATTATACGTAATTTTAATACTATTTACATAAAACATGATAAAATAATACATTTATACTTTCCTTTAATTTAAGGCATTGCCACTAAAATTCTAAAAATGTGAACCACATACTCAGCATCATCTTCCTCGTCATACAATGTAGGACCATGAGAACCCCATTAAGAATTTACTGCATATATAGGTCACATGTAAGTTACAATGGTGGAATAATAGATGAACGTAATAATTTGATAATAGATGCAGTATGCCAAAAATGAATAACACTGCACCATACAGCGGGTTCATCCTTCTAGGACTCATCGGACAAGAACTCGTAGATCCAAGTTTAATCTAACTACTTTTGAAACAAAAGAAGAGGTTCAAAAATCATCTAATTGCATGAATTAAATCAAATTAAGGAGTACTACTAGTAGTTCATTTCAAAATAATATCCAGTAGAGAATTTCTATTATGGACCATAAAGCTGTGACTATTACAATTACGGCAAACATCGAAGACAAAGAAATCAATTTGCAGAGTCTACATGTTCTATTCGTTATCTCGAAAAATAGAATTACTCTGTACTAAACAGCAGTTGTGTCCCTAAAATACAATGGTAACTGACCTGTTTTTGCTCTCTCTAGGTTGGAATCCTGGAGGCCCACCTCCCAACCAGGAATCCGGCCCCATGGGTAACCCGGGAACGGGCCCACCTCAGCGTGGTCCACCAAGCATGCAGGGGATGCCATCGATATCGGGCTACGAGCAGGTCGGAGGATTCGGACAAAGTAGGCAATGCGTATCTGAAACGATTCATTACAGCATGTGTAGATGTTACAAGTCATTACAATGTAACGTGTCTATCCATTGCCCCCACTTGTAGCGCTAGTAATAATGTGTTTAACTAGTTTATTTTCAATTCAATGTAAACAAGAGAGATCCTATATGTTTTCTCTAGCAACATATTTAATGTATTTAAAATCAAACCGTTTTCCTACCACAGTGAACTTCATGCCGCCTCCACCTCCTCCACCCCCTCCTCAGGGAAAACCACCTCCGATGGAGTTCACCAAGTAAGCTTTATACATTTTAATACTTTTTCAGGGATTTGTATTTCTTAATATTTACCATCTGGGTTTGCTTTCAGTTTTCGGTGAGATTTTATTATGTCTTTTTTATGTCTCTTCAGTTCCTGTTTTTAAATGGTGTCCTTGAGTATTGGTGATGTGGTACAATGTACATATATTACCAGAATATGATAAAATGATGAAACACCATTTCAAACTTAGAAAAATGCTGGATTTCTTTCAAAATGTGTCGTCACAGATTTTTTTTTTTTTTTCAACTAGATATCGTGAGATAGTAATTATGGGTTTTCATGTTTTCAGCATGGTCAATCTGTCATGGAAGGGATACTATTCAATGGAAAGTATAATGTAACAGTAAAACTGAGATTATCCAATGTCATCGTACGTAAGGTTACTTGTGCATGAATGGTACATCTTGTATTCCTTTAACTGACCGCCTTCTCTCTTCTTCGTGTTTCATACAGCTTGGCTAATCTGAACGAAGAAGATTGCAGAAACGCTATGATCCAATTCGTAAGCGAGAACTGTTGCTATGGGTCCGCTCCCGCCAAGGAGATGAACATCACCAATGTGATTGGTCTGACTGCCCTGCACGTGAGTGTAGAACTCTTATCACGTGATATTTGGCCGGAGTTGTAATTGGCAGTTAAATGTCTTTATTTTATAACTGAATGATTACAAAAATTAAAATTAAAAATACAAAAAAAACATAGTAAATAAAGCATGCACATATTCGACATTAATACACACGTTAACATCTGTAACGTTATATCATGATCACGACTGCAGTATATAATTGTTATTTTAACATTAGTCTTCTTTGCTGGTGATCCTACGTTAACAGTAAATCTGCCTATCCAGCTATCCTGCTGATTGTAATGAACACTCGACTTTGACATAGCATTGCTATTGAGTATGTCTATAACCGAGGGACCAAAACATATGTCAACACCGAACTGCTGTGCACATTATTACATCCATAGTTCATAGATGTCCTGTTCTCTTCCTACCACTCTTTACTCTCGATGGTGTCTCATCTGGCAACTTGGGCAGATCTGTTGTTGGGATCATATTGTGAGAGATCGCTCAACCACATGTTGTAAGTAGCGTACATATAAGAGAAATCAAACTCATGACATGTTTTTTTTTAACAGAACAGTTAGTAGTAATTAATCAAATGACATTTTGTTTTGTAAAGTACATATTGTAGTAATCCAACGTATAACGTGTTGTTTTGTACAGTACACATTGGAGACATTTTGTGAGAGTAGAAAGACAGGATACGTCCATGAGCCGTACCGGGGTGGACCAATTGATGGTCCTCAAAATGGACCGGCTCCCCCTCCCTGGCAGATGCATTGTGTGGCCGACTCCATGTTCAATACTCACGTGAAGAAACTGGAAGTTCCACACACTGCTACAGTGATGGTAGGTAGCCCACTCTTAATAACTACAGTGATGGTAGGTAGCCCACTCTTACCAACTACAGTGATGGTAGATAGCCCACTCTTATAAACTACAGTGATGGTAGGTAGCCCACTCTTAATAACTACAGTGATGATAGGTAGCCCACTCTTAATAACTACAGTGATGGTAGGTAGCCCAGTCTTAATAACTATAGTGATGGTAGGTAGCCCACTCTTAATAACTACAGTGATGGTAGGTAGCCCACTCTTAGGTAGCCCACTCTTAATAACTTCAGTGATGGTAGGTCGCCCACTCTTAATAACTACAGTGATGGTAGGTAGCCTACTCTTAATAACTACAGTGATGGAAGGTAGCCTACTCTTAATAACTTCAGTGATGGTAGGTAGCCTACTCTTAATAACTACAGTGATGGTAGGTAGCCCACTCTTAATAACTAAAGTGATGGTAATTAAGTCGCCTACACTGGACCCTGCAATAAAGTTAAGTATCCGAACTATCAAAGTGAATTAATTAGCCAACACTAAACCGCTTCAGTGAAGGTTCAACTTAAGGCCATGATCATCACTGGATTGGGCCCTTCGCTAGCTATAGGATTGTGCATGAAAACTTATAGTAACCCATCCCCGGCGGGGTGCTTCCACAGTTACGTGTATTACTTCTTGTCATATATTGAAATGCTCAGTTATCTTAAAACAATATCCTGTTTGTCACGTTTATATTTTCGTGCATTACAATATCATAACTGATACATCAACACATACCCTTATGGTGCATTTCATGCATTAACATTAGTATTTGCCAGACAAGCACAGCCCGTCACTACAAGCATGATCTTTTTCATCGCATTTAATGTGTTTGTTCAAGCCCTGTCACGCCTGTGACGCCCGTGGGTACCACCGGTGCTGGAGATGTCATGGGCGAGGAAACACGCGCTGTGACAACTGTAATGGTTCCGGACAACGTCACACTCACGACCCTCATGGCAACCCTGTTATGGAGAGATGTTTTCATTGCCATGGCGACGGTCGGGAAAGGTACGTTAAGCACTTATAGTGTTCACTAGTTTAATATGATGTAAATTTTGGTGTATTTTCATGCTGGAAAGCCATATGAAAAATTCTAATAATAATTATGTATAAAACAGGAGATGTACAATGTTTTCGAACATTCTCTCGAAAAAACACAAAGCATCATTTTAGTAAGAGAAATTATTCTCGTCCAACTGAATTTCGGTTGACCCGTTCAACTTCATATATGATTTTACATTACGATTGTATACAAAGGATTCTTTTTGGTATGTTAACACATAGGTTACGATTTTTCTTGAATGTTAAGCGGAGACAAGAGACATGCGTTTTACTCCCCATCCCCACTCCTAAATCACTTAAATTAACTAGGCATTGCAAATGATTAACCCTATTTTTTTAATTTAATAATAATGTTGACCGAAAACAAATCAATACTCTTAAAGAAAACACTGAGCATGTTTTCCGAGAAATTTGTTTTACCAGTTTCAGTGACTGACATCAGGGTATATATTCCCAGAGAACTATGGGTAAATGTTACATTGTATCGTATACAATTATGACTTGGAACGTGGCACCAGTTTTGAAATATTTCGTGTTACGATTCACATACTGATCTTTTGTAACATATGTTCCAGGTGTCACACGTGCGGGGGAGACGGGAGGATCACGTGTGATGAATGTGACGGTTATCGTAATATTAAATCCTTCATTCAGTTGACAGTGTCGTTGTAAGTAAAGTAATATATACTAGTACATCTCATATATACAGCTGTCATTGATATTGCAATTAAGTTACACTGTTACAGCTTATTAAAAGATTGTATTTAAGTTATACGTGTATGTCTTATAAATGGAGCTGACAGTTACATTGTATTTAAGTATTACGTGTGTGTCTTATAAATGGAGCTGACAGTTACATTGTATTTAAGTATAACGTGTATGTCTTATAAATGGAGCTGACAGTTACATTGTATTTAAGTATTACGTGTATGTCTTATAAATGGAGCTGACAGTTACATTGTATTTAAGTATTACGTGTATGTCTTATAAATGGAGCTGACAGTTACATTGTATTTAAGTATTACGTGTATGTCTTATAAATGGAGCTGACAGTTACATTGTATTTAAGTATTACGTGTATGTCTTATAAATGGAGCTGACAGTTACATTGTATTTAAGTATTACGTGTATGTCTTATAAATGGAGCTGACAGTTACATTGTATTTAAGTATTACGTGTGTGTCTTATAAATGGAGCTGACAGTTACATTGTATTTAAGTATAACGTGTATGTCTTATAAATGGAGCTGACAGTTACATTGTATTTAAGTATTACGTGTGTGTCTTATAAATGGAGCTGACAGTTACATTGTATTTAAGTATAACGTGTATGTCTTATAAATGGAGCTGACAGTTACATTGTATTTAAGTATTACGTGTATGTCTTATAAATGGAGCTGATTGTGACATTGCATTGAAGTTATACTTGTGGATCTTAATAACTGTTTTTCTACCTGCAATGATATGATCAGCTACCATGACCTTGTTTCCAACTTTTAGATTACAGCTATTATCAGGTTGAAATACATGTACCTATTCGTGGTGTTTTAGCTCGTCTTAGAAATACACAACTCCACCGGAATAGATAGGGAACACTTAACTGACGTATTTCCGAAATGTCTTAATCGGTCTCTTTTGTTCAGCTTGTTGTGTTTCTCCTTGTTTATTGACACTGTGATATATTTTATCCGTTATCTTACAGTACAAATCATAAGGCGGACCATATCATCGAGCGGTCAGATATGCCGGATGAGCTGGTACGGAATGTCTCCGGGGACCTTATATTCGAGCAAGTCCTACCGCAGGTATATAATCATGGTGTTGCTCTGATGGTTATAGGTATGATGTAGAAAAAACAACAGATCTTTGTTGAGGAATGTGTAGTGTTACCCAATTTTTTGTGTGCAAAATAATGCCCGATCATTCCATTCATGTCGGTACGCTTCACTTGTATAAGACATTATGTTCAAGCAAATCCAATGCAGTAAAGAGTATACTTGGTCTTTTTGCTCTGACTATATCATCGTTCAAAGTTGCGTCTTTGCTTCGTGTTCATAATGATTACTGTAGCTGTATGTGTGGTATTTATTGATTTCGCTTGATGCTTTTTTTGAATGTCGTTCCTTATGAAAACAAAGTCAATATCTATCGTTCTTAATACCGATGTCCAACTTCATTCAAAGATTTCCATGATAGGAACCTAGTTGTCTCAGCAGACATAGCATACAGCTCCTTCTTGTAGAATTCCTACCTATACATTTTCCAATTTCTCCAATTTAATGGGACCCCATTGGAATTAAGCCACAATGTGGCTTTATGGGTCATCCCAGATAAAGGTCTAAATGTTATCGAATCGAATCCAGTGTTTAACACTCTGACTGATTACTAGTTCTATGGTATAAATAACTTATAAGTAACATCTGTCATGATATATGTTTGTATGTCTAATCTGCAAAATATGATATACGTGTAATTTCTGCCTTTTACCTGAATGAATATTATTACTATTTTCGGAAGACGATTATACTAGCTAACAAGTTCTTTGTAACAATCATATGGACCTTCGATTCTTGGTTGTAAAAGGATTCCGAATTTCACAAAAATCTTTACAAAAACATTTAAGAGCTGATTCTGCTAATTGCCTAACCAAAATATCATCCAACTTTCTTAATATCAAGGTAAGTACTATTTCATCAGTTTTGCAGTGAAACTGTATGTTACATAAGTAGGGAATTTCGAGAATTCAACAAATTCCATTTTTTACCCTTCTGGAACATCTAGTCTTATTCATCTTCCTTTGCTCTTATTTTGCAGAAGTTTGAATTGTGGTTTGCTTTCACTTTGGTATATCCTCAGAGTACGTTCTACTTTGGAAATTACGGAATGTAATTTATTAAAATTCTTTGTATCGCCCGTTTACGCTTTGCTTGTATTTCCCAGGTATGGCCCATTACCGCTTACCCTGTACCGGAAATAAATGCCAATTCAGTCCGTATTGTAAACCAGCACAAGGGAGCCTACCCAAATGAACGCCAGCTCCAACAGGTAACTACATGTATACACACGTGTAACTCTCACAAGTAACCACATGTATACACACGTGTAGCTCTCACAAGTAACCACATGTATACACACGTGTAACTCTCACAAGTAACCACATGTATACACACGTATAGCTCTCACAAGTAACCACATGTATACACACGTGTATCTCTCACAAGTAACCACATGTATACACACGTATAGCTCTCACAAGTAACCACATGTATACACACGTATAGCTCTCACAAGTAACCACATGTATACACACGTATAGCTCTCACAAGTAACCACATGTATACACACGTGTATCTCTCACAAGTAACCACATGTATACACACGTGTATCTCTCACAAGTAACCACATGTATACACACGTGTAACTCTCACAAGTAACCACATGTATACCCACGTGTAGCTCTCACAAGTAACCACATGTATCCACACGTGTATCTTTCATAAGTAACTACATGTATACACAATGTAACCCTCAAAGCTAACCACATGTATACACACGTGTAGCTCTCACAAATAAATACACGCATAAAATGTACCCACGTGTCGCTCTCACAAGTTACCAACTCTCACAAGTAACCACATGTATACACACGTATAGCTCTCACAAGTAACCACATGTATACACACGAGTAGCTCTCACAAGTAACTACATGTATACACACGTGCATCTTTCACAAGTAACCACATATATACACACGTGTAACCCTCAGAGCTAACCACATGTATACACATGTGTAGCTCTCACAAGTAACTACATGCATACACACGTGTATCTTTCACAAGTAACCACATATATACACACGTGGAACCCTCAGAGCTAACCACATGTATACACACATGTAGCTCTCACAAGTAACCACATGTATACACACGAGTAGCTCTCACAAGTAACTACATGTATACACATGTGTAGCTCTAACAAGTAACCACATGTATACACACGTGTAGCTCTCACAAATAAATACACGCATAAAATGTACCCACGTGTCGCTCTCACAAGTTACCAACTCTCACAAGTAACCACATGTATACACACGTGTATCTCTCACAAGTAACCACATGTATACACACGTGTAACTCTCACAAGTAACCACATGTATACCCACGTGTAGCTCTCACAAGTAACCACATGTATCCACACGTGTATCTTTCATAAGTAACTACATGTATACACACTGTAACCCTCAAAGCTAACCACATGTATCCACACGTGTAGCTCTCACAAGTAACCACATGTATCCACACGTGTATCTTTCATAAGTAACTACATGTATCCACACTGTAACCCTCAAAGCTAACCACATGTATCCACACGTGTAGCTCTCACAAGTAACCACATGTATCCACACGTGTATCTTTCATAAGTAACTACATGTATCCACACTGTAACCCTCAAAGCTAACCACATGTATCCACACGTGTAGCTCTCACAAGTAACCACATGGCCCATTACCGCTTACCCTGTACCGGAAATAAATGCCAATTCAGTCCGTATTGTAAACCAGCACAAGGGAGCCTACCCAAATGAACGCCAGCTCCAACAGGGAACTACATGTATACACACGTGTAACTCTCACAAGTAGCTACGTGGATACACACGTGTAGCTCTCACAAGTAACCACAGGTATACACACGTGTGACCTTCACAGGTAACCACTTGTATACACATGTGTAGCTCTCACAAGTAACTCCATGTATACACACGTGTATCTTTCACAAGGAAGCACATATATACACACGTGTAACCCTCAGAGCTAACCACATGTATACACATGTGTAGCTCTCAAAAGTAACTACATGTATACACACGTGTATCTTTCACAAGGAAGCACATATATACACACGTGTAACCCTCAGAGCTAACCACATGTATACCCACATGTAGCTCTCACAAGTAACCAAATGTATACACACGTGTATCTTTCATAAGTAACTACATGTATACACACTGTAACCCTCAAAGCTAACCACATGTATACACACGTGTAGCTCTCACAAATAAATACACGCATAAAATGTACCCACGTGTCGCTCTCACAAGTTACCAACTCTCACAAGTAACCACATGTATACACACGTGTACCTCTCACAAGTAGCTACGTGTATACACACGTGTAGCTCTCACAAGTAACAACATGTATACACACGTGTGACCTTCACAGGTAACCACATGTATACACACGTGTAGCTCTCACAAATAAATACACGCATAAAATGTACACACGTGTCGCTCTCACAAGTTACCACATGTATACACACGTGTAGCTCTCCCAAGTAATCTCATGTATACACATATGTAACCTTCATGTATCCACATGCATGCTCAGGAAAATGTAGTTCTCACATGGACCCCATGTGTACATATTGTACGACATATTTAATAGGTAACCATGTTAACGTAACCACCTGAATATATAGGTTATTTCTCATAAGTAATAACCAGCATATACACAAATGTTTTTTATCATCGCAGAAAGAGGCTCAAGTCGCAGCAAACCACGTTGTAACATTTAACAATTTAACAGTTATCTATCACAGCTTAGGCCTGTACATGTATATCATATTTAACAACTAATGTACACAGGGTAACTACACATTAACCTTTTATGAACAATTATCACAAGTTACTAATTGTATACATTGACTATAGGTGTATGCTTCAGGCGTAGAAATCCTTACGCAGGCATGGATGTTTGATATTTGTTCACGTGAAACGGAAGTTTAGATACATGTGTAGTTCTCAAATGTCGCAATGTTTGCCGTATGTGTGGAACAGCATTTGCGCGAAGAACAATAAATAAATGTTCAGAAAAATGACGTTAGTCCATGTTTACGTCACTTAAGAAATAACGCACATTGTGTTGGATGTATGTACGAGATGCATGTTTACTAAGCGTACTTATTTTCTATATTTGTCAATATCCACATTTTTGTTTGTTATTGCTTTGAAATCTTCTTAATTAAAAATGTCAAGAGTGTGAATACAAGCAGTAACCTTATGGAAGACCCCTAGAATATTATCAAATTATATTTTTAATAAAAACAATCATTGCATTCTCTTTCCTAGCGCCAGCAATTGAGAGCGGTACCCGTAACGGAAGCTCACTACGATTGGAATGAAACAAAAACCAGGTTTTGGGTGTACGGTCTGGAGAAGAGGGTCGAAGCTCCGGACTATCCACAACAGTGTTGCTGGGGGTGTGAAATCCTCTAGAAACATCAGAAATGACGATATCAGAGGTGACCTAAGTGCTGTGATAGTTCTATACTGTATGGCGTTATGTGATACAGTCAGGATAATTGCATATATGAATCAATAGATTTTACTACCGTGTATAGATTTCCTATTGTGAAAAAAAACCGTGATAATTAATCAACGACAAGTAAAATAAATACTACTAAACGCTTGTGGACGCTTTCCATGATCTTTTGAGTATTTTTCTGTGAAAACCCCATTTGTATTTCCGATTCCTGATGTAGCAGTGGATAGCTCGCTCTTTGAATAACATGTCATTGCGGTTTCGTTCAGATGAACGTATGTGTTTGATGTAATCGACCAAGGGTAAATAACAGTTTAAGCAGTTACTACTTTCTCACATAAGTGCTACCGTGAATATATCATCCATGTCATATATGTTGTATATATCTTCATATAATTAACATATGCTGTGACGTCAGAATTATGGCAATAAGCATGCTGTTATGACAGCGCAAGGAAAATGGTAACAGTTATGACTTAGCGATGGTCAGAGAAAACATGTGTTCTTGGTTATATGATAAAGAATGATATAAACATCATTTCCAATTGACCTCATATGAGATTTATAAAACCGAGCAATGCACTACTACAATGAAAACTGATAGGTCATACGCTGGAGAATTATTTTAGTATCATATATATATATATATGTATACTTGCAATGAACCATGTGAATAAGCTACGGGTTAATATGCATGCTGCATTGATCCCTGTCTTCGATGTACAAAATATATATTTGACTATAATTAATGTTGACATTACCTCATCTTTCGTTATTGTGATATTTCTGTGAAACATTCATTTCCGGAACCCATTGTGTGGTTGTTTTCTAATTGTGTACACATGGTTGTTAAACGGTTATACATTCCTGATAATGGTTGTATTGTCTATGGCGATATAACTCTGGTCTTTTATGTTTCTTATATATGTTCTTGACACATGTACATATGTTCTTCACAAATGTCTATATTTCTATTAAATCTTCACAACCCAATTAAAGAGTGGTTTTTTTTAACTTTTAAGTATTATGAGGTTATAGATACAACAGATGAACAACAAAAATTAAGAAAGGTTGACCAAAGCACACAAATACATAATTAAATATCTCCTAGGTGTCGACTATTGCTTGCAGAAAGTTTCGTATCTCTGCACGAAGCTAGATCTTTTTTTACTTTCCATTCATCCATAGTTATCATCATACCAGTCTCGAATTTGGCAGAAGTCATGTGATACTGTAGACCATGGCAACACATCCACATTCCGCTGAGTCAGGAAATCAGTAACAACGCATGCAACGTGTGGTCCAGCGTTGTTATTTTGCGGCGTAACGTGATCCTTTTGAACGAATTGGATGATGTGTGCTTACAAGATCTCATCATGGAAACCCCACGGTTATGCCATTTGCAGTTATGCCGCCCCAGACCAATACACTTTTACAGACGAGGGGTCGACGTTCAACGACACATTTGTCCTGAAATGTTCACCATTACGACGTAGCATTCTGAAGCGGCCGTCACTACTGTCCAAGTGGAATCAACTTGTCTGAGAACACGATATGCGGTCAATTTCGTCCAGTAAAGCGAATTTCCAAGACCGAGCAAGACGTACAAGATGACATTGTTGCAAGACAGGGAGGTTTATCGCAACTGTTGGGAGATATTCTTTGCAATCCGGAAAAGCTTCTTGATGCAATTGTCCTTGCGTGATGACTTCACATGTGTATGTTCTGACCCGGGGCGCACCCTGCTGCAACCAGACTGCTTGAAACGTCTCCATAAGACATGAATAGTGTTTCGATGCACACAAAAGCGTAAAGCAACAACATTTTGGCCGACACCATGCCAGAATCCTCCCAACTGCTTTTCCAACTTCACCAAGTCTATACCTACATTATGTAGCTTACCAAATACATTTACCAGACAAACATTTGTTGTCTGTTTGCCTTGGATATAATGATCCACACAACAGTAACAAAGTCGGTAAAAATTGTCAAATTTACTTTCAAATTTTGGCATGCACAAAAGGAATTCACCCGTGAATAATGTTAAGTAAATGACACCTTGATAAAAAGACTTAAGGGAGCAGTGGCGAGTATAACCAAGTAGATAGAAACAATATCAAATTCAGGAATATGATGAAACGAACAAATCCAAGCATTGTCAACCCATCGTTTATACAAAATTAAAAATTAGATCCCCTTCACCCAAGGATGCTTTAGACCAAATATGGACATAATCCTGTCATTCCTACAGAAGAAGGGGGATTTAAAAGCTTGTTTTCCTCTTTGGTCCTGCCTCTCTGCCAAAAGAGGGGGGTCAGACCCACCGTTTATACAAAATTGGTTCCCCTTCACCCAAGTGTGCTTCATCCCAAATTTAATCAAAATCCTGTCATTCTAACAGAAGAAGAAGGAGTTTGAAGAATTTGCTATGTTTCCCCTATTGGGCCCCACCCCTCAGGCCCCAGGAGGTCCAAATCCATCATTTTTACAAAATTGATTTTCCTTCACTTTTCAAATTTGGTCTTAATACCTTCATCCCAAGGGAAGAAGAAGGAAATTAATACTATTCCTCTATATTCCTTATTGGGCCCCGCCTGTCTGCCCCCAAAGAGGTCAGACCCACCATTTATACAAAATTGAGTCCCCTAGGCCCAATGATGCTCCAGATTAAATAAGAATAAAATCCTTTCATCCCTACGGTAGAAGGATTATAAAGGTTTTACCTCTATTTCCCCTATTGGGCCCCGCCCCTATGACCCGAGGAGGGCCACACCCACCATTTATACAAAATTGAGTTCCCTTGGCCCAAGGATGCTCCAGACTAAAGGGATACAATCCCTTAATCTCTCCGATAGGAGAAGGATTTTGAAGATTATATCTCTATTTCCCCTATTCGGCCACGCCTCTCTACCCCAAGGGGGGCCACACCCACCATTTATACAAAATTAAGTTCCCTTGCATTGGTCTAAGGATGCTCAAGACCAAATTTAGTCAAAATCCACTTAGGCGTTCAGGACTAGTAGCGTTTTAAAGAAAAAGTTGACAGACCGAGGGACGCTGCGTTATGGCATAAACTCACCATGGTCCTTCGAACCAGGTGAGCTAAAAAAAGGTACCATCAGCGGTAAACACCTAGATCTTTGTATAACATATTTTGGCATACAGCAAATTTGTTGAAAACCACGATGAAAGTGCAGTTAGTCCTTTTTGAGAAGACACAATGTTGGCACTGTAGCATTTGGTCACTTTGGAGGGATGTACTACAAATGTAGTAATTAAAGAAGTCCATTTTTTAACAATATTTTTATTAACATTTCAACAGGATTTGCCGGATATTTGTTATAACAGTAAAGTGACTGACACAGCAATGGTTCTGTTTATAGCTGACAATGTAAACAGTTATTCCTAACAAATCATAAAATATGTTATATAAGGGGGGTAAACCATATTTTCGCGTTTATAGTAAAGAAGTGCGTTGTATAATTTTCGGTTTCATAACCGTTTCAAAGATAAAAAGAAAACAAAGTCTTAATTATCCTTCGGTTATCCGAAAACAATTTTCATATAAATTATTTAGTAAAATTGTTTAGCTGAACTTAGTAACTTGTGATTTCCTTTCTTCCACAAAACGTGCGAAAAATAACTACTCTGAAAATTACCCTTTCTATCGTATCATACACGTGCACGCTTTTCAAGCTTAACAACTCCCTCTTTAAAATATGAAGCAAACACCAAGTTAAAAAACTTTTTACCAATCCATGCATTTCTCAATAGCATAGATAGGATCATCGTCCTAATCAGTATTCAATACACACGAAACATATTGTAGAGAAGAACAGCAGATTGTCCATCCTTTATATGTTGTATCACTAACACTATAGTAACAATATTTGGCTTACAATTTCAGTTTGATACACAGATTGTAGCCAACATACAACCTAGTACCATCTTTTTATATTTTCATAAACATACATCAAACGTATATCTTTGGAATAGTGCAATATACAGAATGCTTCAGTCAAATGGGTGTTCGGGTGGCGTAGTGGATTGCGCTCTGGCCTTTCACAAAGGCGGTTGGGTTTCGATTCTCGATCTGACATGAAAATGTAGGAGGCCACCTGCCTAACCACGTGGGTTTTCTCTGAGTATTCCAGTTTCTTCACACATGAAGACCCCTTGCAACCTACCATCCGGACTTACAAGAGTGATAAGTATGAGTTGATAGAATTTATTTCACAATTGTTATAATATAAATAAAGTTTAATTTACAAATGTCATGGTCATAATATACAATCTAGATTTGCATCCTAGTTATAATATTAATACAATAGTAGATAAATCCTTCAATGTCAGCTTCAAGGTCAACTAATACAAGCTTATGCTTAAATATTGAAAACCATAAATATATTAACGTGGGAACTGAAAATCCACGAAAGTATTGGTAAAGTTGCTTCAAAATAAAAAAGGTATTCAACGATCTTGTGAATCTGTAAAAACAGTGTTTCCTACACAATATGTACATTGTACTTGCAATATAGTTTATATGGATATATATGGGAATGAGCAGGTCCCCAGACTCATTTGCATGAATTGCTTCTTCATTAACGTGATGTTATATGATTTAAATATTGAAAACAAGATACCAATTAGGCATGAATCACTAATCTGTTTTTCCAGTACAAGATACAATCTGGAGTAAATCTCATTTCTAGTTTTGCAATAATTTCTAAAAAGTCATCCACCAATCAGTGGCCACAACAGCAATCTACCCAAACATCAACCACATAAGATTTATAATTGACCTACAAATAACTATAATAGGTTAAGATCATAAAAGGATCATTTGTATGACTATCATCTGCATTTAAACACCATCCTAAATTTTAATCAGTGGTTACAAGGCAAGTCAGGATGTATGTACCTACTGTTAGGAAAGTATCCTGATACAGACTTCTGGCACTTTGCCATCCCAATATATCCTTGTACACCAAATCTGGTTACTCCAGGTGAAATAGTATAGAAGATATGCCCCGAGAAACTTTTTGAAAAATAAAGGTCAAAGGTCAAGTCATGGGTCACACTGACCTAATTCTTGCACTCTGCATGCGCATCCGCCATAAGAAATGATCTTTGAACACCAAATCTGGTTGCTCCAGGGCAAATAGTAGAGAAGATACCCCCAGACAAACATTTTCAAAAGAAAAGGTCAAAGGTCAAATCATAGGTCAAAAGACCCTCCTCTTGAACTCTGCACTCCGCCATCCTAAGATTCCTTGTACACAAAATCTGGTTACTCCAGGTGAAAAATTACAAAAGATATGCCCTGGACAAACTTTTCAAAAGTTAAGGTCAAAGGTCAAGTCATAGTCACAGTGACCTAATTCTTACACTCTGCACTTTGTCACCCAAAGATGTCATTTTACACCAAATCTGGTTTATAACTCCAGGTGAAATAGTATAGAAGATAAGTCCTGGACAAACTTTCTTGGACGGAAGGACGGACAAAAGGAGTGCAAACCTACCTAAACTATTTGAATTTTTGATCAATTACGAAACAAACTTCAAAACTGGACCTAAACTTTGAGCCCTTGGACACATCCTCAAATGTTGCACTAGGACATTGGCATCTATACCTAATTAGTTTCAAATAGGTTAAGCTGTATTTATTGTGAAGTCGTTTAATCATTAATCTATATTCCCCTATTACAATATTAAGTAAACAGTTAAGTCAACAGATTAATACTGTAAAAAGGAAAACCCATTGAAATTAATTTCAATTTTTAAGTTCTCAAGTTAAAACATTCAATTTAGATGATATTTTTCTTAATCATACTGATTTTTTCACCAAAACACTCAAAATCAAGTTTTACTGATAAATTTTAGGGTTAAAATAATATTATTCACCACCAATGAAGAATTATTAAAATATTCTACACATTTGTATATATTGAAAATTGGTCAATGTGAACTCATATACTACTTAAAATAGGGTACATTGTGAGATCCAAAAAAACATTTGCATAATTATGACGAATGTGGTAGTACATGTCACAATTTTATATTATGAAATGAGTGTGGCGTTATTCTGATGCAATTTAGATCTAGAATTTAGAGCATAATTACTAGACAGTCATGTCAAAACGGAAAAGATAAAATGGACTAGAAATTGGCCAAACCGACGGTAGTGAAATACATTATATTTGAAGAATACCTCTTTAAATCTTGAACAAAGCATACAGTAAATATGTTTTCTGATCACACATGCTGTAGAAAGATTCTGAAGTTGTAAAACAAAAATGCTTGTACTATGTAGGAGTAGTACATTGTACAGTACCATGCGGTTCAGTGCATACATGTAGCATTGTACACAGTTGATTTTACAACTGATGAAAGAAAATGATGTACACTGTAAAATAAAACATGTTAAAAATTCACATAATATAAAGTATTTTAAATTATTTGCAAAAAGATAATAAAATCTGACTCTTTAGTCTGACATTCACTGAACAATGGAGTTCATTTAAATACTCTTAACATACACTGTGTCAGCAACTTGATGTTTGTGAAATGCAAAATGCATGCTGGACAAGTTCATATTCATTATATTTGAAACAAACCGTACGAAGTGTAAACATGTCTTTGAAGAAATGGTTGCATTAGCAATTCGTAATTTGTCTCTGATTTGGGATTTATAACATTTGCTCTAAAATTGAAAAAATGGTGTATGTATTAAACCAGAATTAAATTTGAAATGCAATACATTGAAGTGACCTGAAAGAATAGAGATTATTTTGTTTGGCCTCAGACATAAATAAATAATGATAATATTTTGATGCTTAAATAAGTCTGTTTAATTTCTAATATATAAGAGAATCATATTTAGAATAATGTGTAACTCTTCAGGCATCTTGAATTCAGACACTATATAGTGTATTTGTAAAAAATAATACTGAATAAAGTTATTTCAGTTGAAACAGAGTTCTTATTCTATGATCAATGTTGATAACCAAATTTTAATTGACATGGTATAATTGTAGATTCCTACCATTAGCAATTTTAATGTGATGACTGCACGTATTCATGATTTTGCTTACACTAACAGATGTATCAGTATGTTTAAAGTATTTTAAAGTTCAACAATAACACAAATAATAAATATTGCAAATAACATATCCTTTTGTGAGTGCTGTCAGGACTGTGCCAGCTTGGCGTCTTTATCAATAGAGTTGGGCATGACGTGAATGACTTCCTGTACACACTGGTCTGACATCACTTCCTGTGACATGTCTCCCAGTCCTCCAGGTTCCTGCTTTGTGATCACCTGTATACTTCCATGCTGTTGCAGCTGGGCAAGGGAAGTAACTGCTGATCCCATCTGGTGGTACATGGACACAGGTATGCCTGGTATTGTCATCAAACCTTGCAAGAAAAAACAGAGACAGTTTATATTAGCATTAACAAATTGTGAACTAAGGACAAATTTTCTAATTCTATTTACATATTTGCTACATTTGACTCAAAATATGTGAAACCTGCAGTTTCATTCTTGTACATTTCTCTGAAAACTGGCTGATTTGCTGTACTTGATTCCCAGATATGCGACACCAAATGTTATTATATGAGAAGGGCATCAAATAAAATGGAAGAGAAGAGGCAAACGGCACATTTGACTTTAAGGTGTTTCGTGACAACTGACCTCAACAGCATTATAATTGACTTTTTTAATTCATTCAGATATTCAGCTCAGCTGTGTGATATCCGACATCCAAACACCACCTTCTATTTTATGGAATTTGGTCTTACCTGTTCCTGGTAAATTGCCATCTCCTGTCAGTATTATGTGACCGTCGTCTGAGATGGTGGCCATGCCATGTCCCACCGACTCCACATTCATCTCCACCTGTACAGGGGTCATGGTCCTGAGCTGTATCTCCTGACTACTGGCCACCGCCTCGGCAAGAGTCTGGACGGCATGTGTGGCTTCCTGTGGAACCTGGGATACCTTTAGACACAACAGTTTTGGTAAAAAAAATTACATCACACAGGTTGGGTAGAATCTGATGTACAGTTTGGTTATTAATATACTTATATTTAAAGTAATTAATTAAAAAGAGCAGAGGCATATCATCTTTTATCTTTTTCTACCACTAATTAAATGTTGATCCTTTCCCTTTGAGACCAGCAGCATGACCTACCGAATTCACTACAGTGGCCTGGGTACCATCCGGAAGAGTGACAACATGGTTTGGACCTGTATCTAATTGTATAATAGAAACAGTGCCATCAGGGTTATTGATGGTCTGTAGCATTGTCTGTGCGGCGGGATTGTGATGTTCCTGGTCACCACTGAAGAAGTAGAGCAGATCATCTCGACCATGATGAATGTAACAGTTCTTCACCATCATCTTCAGAGCTTCCGTCCACGACACCTAGCAACAGATTTAAACACCCATATCAACACCGACAGAAAACCGCTTTTGGGTAGAAGGAAATCAGACTTCTGAAACCATCAAAGCTGCCTGCTGCTATAACATACCTTAACATAATGATACCGACAGCACTTTTCTAACTACATTTTATAACTGCCTGTTTCTCCATTAATTGAGAAAATAAAGTTTTGACTGTTTCTACATGACTGGAGAAAAAACAAAATTCTGATGTTATGAAACTGGGAAAGTAATCCTTCTTTTGTCTTCATTTAAAATAAAGCACTTTTTTGCTAGCAAAAGCAGTCTGTCTTCGGTTTTTCACCAGCCCTACAAAAACATCATTGACTAAATATATAATTTATGTTTGGTAAACATTTATGATCACTTGGTATCGATGCACATTCACAACAGTTTTATGCTACAAGAATACTTCATAACTGTATTGTCTCAAATTTGTAGGTTTATCTGTTCTGGTGAATTCATTAAAGGGACAAGAGTACAAGTGTACTCAAAACATTGTGCACAGCTAACTAGAGTGCTTTTGATGGCTAATATCCATCTTTAACACTCTAGCAGAAAATCCTAGGTGCCATGACTATGTCACTAGAATTAGCACAACAATCACATCCGAGCATGAACAGTCTCTATATCTGCTGATGTTCCTCCTCCTCCTCATTCGTGTGATCAATGATGTCAGACAGTGTAGGCCCACTAAAGTAATCAAGATGGACAGTGGCCATAAAAGGCTTTTTGGTAAGCTTACCACAATGTTTTGAGTAATTGTTTAAATGTTACCCCTTTAATGTCTCAATTTCAAATATCATAAGTGTTAACTGGCAAAAAATATTCGAGATTCATAAATGTTGTGTCAGAGCATATTATATAATTAACAAATACAACTAATTTTACTGTATTGAAAGGGAAATATATATTTGCCCCACATTGGTGTGTAAAATGAAATATTTTAATTGAGTGCCTTGACAGTACAATTTTCAACTCTCTTCAGTCTCATTGGCTGCTAGTTTAGGTGTAGAACATTTGTGAGCCTTTAAACCCTGGTATTCTGGTAGGTTAGGGTTTGATCATGACGTCTGGACAACTTGTGGCAGGGATCACTAAATAACGTCTTAAAATAGTTTTACAGGCAGCCCCTGGTGAATGTATTGAATGTATATCTATACATGTGTTAAACTTAACAGACCTTGAATATGGGTCAAAGTACACGTGAGCCAGCTACTGGCAAATATCACAACTCTAGGCCTTTCGGTTATTCTGCACAAGTGGTTTCAATTTCTTAACAAATTTAACCCAGGGTATGACCTTGAATCGAGTCATGTTATTTATTTTTGAAAACTTTGTATCACCTCGTGCAAGCAATTAATTTACTGGTGAAGTATTATGACTCTAGGCTTTTGGTTATTCAAAAGAAGTCCTTTAAACATTTTAATAATTTGATTTGATAGTTTAAAACAAGAATATCTAATTGAGACTGACAGGAATATAAACATTGCTTCACACTTTGTCTAACTCAATGGGAAGTTATGTCATCAATAATTTTTTCTTAGTCATTGGCTAGTGGAAAAAACTTTCAGATTAAAAAAAACAAAAGTTACAATTTTTTGCTTAGGCCAAAAAACCTCAGTTGTTTGTTTCCGATTACCCTACCTAGCCTTATTTTTCGTGCATGCCTTAAACTTTTCAAATTTGTTGGCAATTTCAAAGGAAGCACTGTAAAATTCAAGATAATACTCCTATATAAATAAACCTTATAAAAAAAATACTGAAAAACATAATTTATTTTCTACCTACTGGCTAACCAAAATTCTTCAGACATGTAATAGGAAACAAAAATATTGTTTGTTTGGCCTATTTCTCTTCAACATACCCTCTTTTTTTCCTCCGCAGACCGGACATCACTACGGACATTAGCCCAGGGTATATCTTTAGGCCACCAGACAGGAATACATTCCATCTTGCCCCATCCAGGTTTACTGCGACCCGTTGAGTACTTCAGCATCTCTGGTATAAATGTTCGTAGTTGGGCCTACAGCACAGAAAAAGCTACATAAGTAATAGAACTCTGCTAGTGGCTAAATATCTCTGATCTTGACACTTTCTTGATTTTATGGAAATATAAAATACAACCAGGCAATATTGAAATTCTGAACTGGGTAAATAGTACAACAATAACACATAGACAGTAGAGATTTTTGTTGTTTTATGTATTTTTGTATCTACGACTTATCACTCAACAACACATTTTGGTTACACTCAAATGTGTTTCAACTGAGCTATTCAATCTGACCATAACTAACAAGCTGGTTCAATGTCTTGTGGCCATTTAATCCAGGTTATTTATATTATGACGGGTGCTAAATTTATCTACCAGGGATGAAAGGCTTAGAATACCCAGAAAGATTAAGGAAATTGAACCTACCAACACTAACATATAGGAGACTGCAAGGAGACATGATCGAAATGTACAAGACTGTAAACAGAATTTACGATGTTTTTTTGTTAAGCTTTGGAGTGAGGAATCAGTCACAAATAGTACAAGAGGAAACTCGAAATAAATAGTCCCATATCAGTCAACAACATCCCTGAGGAGAAACTATTTCACATTTCATACAGTCAAAACCTGAAACAATCTTCTGGAGGACGTTGTAACCTCTCCAAATATCAATACTTTTAAGAATAGAATAGATAAACTTTGGCAGTATGAAGAACTTTGTTATAATTATAGGGCAAATTTAAATAACAATGAACTTCAACTTTATATGATACAATTATTTAATTTTTGAGTCCAATGTAGGGGGGGAGCTCTATCGGCTCCTGTATCGGAAACTAGCTTTAACTTTAGTTGACTTGTTAAACAGATAACTGACAAATCCAGTGTATTGACATAATGATTTTTGACAAGGAGAAATAAAAGTGTCAACTGAAAACAGGCGACTGCTAAAGCAGGTTTGACAGTATCTACATCAAAATATATTGTTGTCATATCTTCTGTGCATGTTTTATCAAAGAGAAGAAGGGTGTACAATTTTCTTTTCAGAGTACTAACTTGCAGGCAGATTTTGAAAAGTTTTGTTACACAGTCCATCTTTATTGTCATAGCAGATATTGAAATTATTTACTAGGTAGTCGTGACTAAAAATCTGACAGCCTCAGGCACCAGGTTTATGGAATTGTACACGCTGGCCCTGTTATACAAGTTTTTCAATTAAGATGTTATCATTAACTTCGAAAGGAAATAATCATTGATCACACATTGACAGAGTACAAACGTGTAATCAAGCTATTTGTCATACACCACCTGTGTCATTTGGTCTACTGAGGTAGGTATTCCATCGATTGACAGGGGAGGCAACTCATGCAGACCACTTGCTTCTGAATGACTTGCAGGTAGCTGCTCGGATAATGTAGATTCTAAATCTTGCAACACCACACCTTTACAGCTCCTCACCTACAACAGTAACCAAATACATTTGCAAGTTGTGTTATACAACAATGGTGAGATGTTATAAAAAAATAAGAATAAAAAATAAACAGTTTTAAATACCGGCCTGTACAGAACTTTGTCACTTTGTCCCACAGAACTGATCATTATATTATATCTACATGTTGAAGGTAGCAGTCTTCCTTTAGATTAAAATAATTTAAAAGAAGGAAGATATTGATCTCATTTATGACTGCTACCACCATGTATGCCGCCACAACACCCTGCCTGTCCTTATTTTTGGTCACCGCCTTGTCATCAAACTCCTCCAGTGATTAGGAAGCAGCTAACTTTAAGTTGTAACTAGTTACGTACCATTTTCTCCAGTACCTTGGGGCCAAACATATCATGTGCCGTTGTTAGCTGTATATACCTACCACATCCTCCAAGTGCTGGGAACTTGAGCCGAACACCTTGATGTTAGCTATATACGTACCATATTCTCCAAGTGCCTGGAGCTTTCAAGAGCAGAATACCTTGTTGTTAGCTATATACCTTCCACATTCTCCAAGGGCTGGGAACTTGAGCAGAACACTTTGTTGTTAGCTATATACCTACCACATTCTCCAAGGGCTGGGAACTTGAGATGAACATCTTTATGTTTAGCTATATATACCTACCACATTCTCCAAGGGCTGGGAGCCAAACACTTTGTAGTTGTTGTGGGAGTTTGAGGATTTCCCAGGGGTACAACACAACACCACTGCCTGCTGACCAATTCTTGTAGTGTATTCCTCAATAGTTGCCTTCAGTTTCCTTTAAACCAAACAGATTTTAAGTGTTATTTGTGCATTAATATTGCAGTATTTTTTTCTTCCTTTATTTGTTATAAACCTATTTAAATGTATTTGTGACTTTTCCATTTGGAAAATATCATATTTTTCAAGATGGGGTATTTCCATTTTCATTCAAATAATTAAAAAAAAAAAACTTTGCAATATCTTCAATATATAGGATCTATCAAAAGTGACTATTTGTGGAAGCATACGTTACTAGACGTTCAGGCAAAACTAAGAAAAGAAAAGCATGTGAACTAACCGAAGAATCCTGGTCTGCTGACGTTTTCTAATGGAAGGATTTGTTTCGAAAATATGTGGCCTCTTGTTTTTTCTCCTGATGCCACTGGCTATAGCTGCTGCAGCTGCCATTCCTACAGTTCCTGAAAGTACACATCATTAACAATAACATAACCATATTTGACATACCACACAATCTTGACACAAACTTATAAGAGTTAGACCCAAATCATTTTTTTTAAATAAGTGACATTCTTCTAATCTAGATTATTGAAAAATTAAATATGTATTTGCAATCAGTCTACTTACCAGATGCTGCAAGCTGAATTGTGATTTCATCCGACATTCCATTGGCCAAAAGGTCTGAAGTATCAAATGAGCTTTCTGGTGAGCTTGGCTCACTCATGCCGTCGCTAAGCATGCCTGTGCTGATCTGGGAGGTGTTAATGGTCAGTGCTCCAGCACTAGACAAAGCACTGGCCTCCGAAGAGACCAGGACGGAGTTCATCCTGATTAACAGATCTCACATTTCCCTGCAGTCATGAAGGACCTTTTCAAACAGTTTATATTATATTTCTGAAGAAGAGAAAATAAAGAAAAATTGCATGACTGTATATATTGTTAGAATTATACACAAAAAGCTATTAAGTTATCAATCTGAATGGATGTAACTCTTTGAGGGCACATAATGAAGTGTAATCCTGCAAATGAATGACTTTAACCTCGATCCTCTTAAAAAATTGATGGGGCAGGCCGGACAGATCGAGATGTCTCTGCCCTTTAACAAAATTCAAGATAATTAATTCAGTTATTTTGGACTAATCTCATATATACTATTTATTGATGACTCTTTGAATGTTTGGTTTGGTTTGATATTTTCTAATGTCCTATTAACATCTATGGTCATTTAAGGACGGCCTCTCCTACATGCGTGTAGTGTATGCGTGTGTGTTTTAGGAGGCTGCGATATGTTCGTGTTTGTCTCCTTGTGATAGCGCGGAACTGATTCCGACTTTATAGTGCTACTAATTCACCGAAACATACTGCGCGGAAGACACCCAGCAGGACAACCCGTCCTGTCACATTATACTGACAACGGGTGAACCAGTCGTCCGACACCCAAATTGCTGAGCTTTAAGCAGGAGTAGAAACTACCATAAATTTGCGGGTATAGTGCGCACCCCTGTATTGTGTATTAGAAAGAAGAGGAAAGATAAATTCCCAAATTTAGTAATACCAGATTAAACCCAGTTGATACATTGTAATTTTGTACATACAAACTATATACTGCTATTTGAGATGATCAGGTACAATATTTTATCATCTCAAAATTAAACAAGTACCCCAATGCAATTATTTTGAGTTATTGTAAAAGTTCTTGTAATTATAACAAGAAAGGAATAAATACAGACCACTATTTTAATAAACATGCACATACTTAAATATGACTTTTGCCTTCAATCACTTTTCGGAATTTTCCTTAATGATCACTTATATTTCGATAAATAATATGACCTAGATACAGTAGTTTTTTCCTTTTTTTTGCTTTTCATTAATACCTACGTAATTTGATTTTTTTTCTTAAAAAAAGTGCTCGCCATGGAAAGTATTTAACAGGGATTATAATATACATAGGCCTACTGTACATTGCTGATTAGCCTACAATCTTTAAAGGATCATATATGTAATGTGCCAAAAGAAAAAAAATATAAAGGGGCATGATCTTGAGAAGAAAACAAGATTATTGTGATCGCCTTGTTCCAAAATATATACTTAAACAATGATGATAGAAGCAAAATGCAATCAAAATATTATCGTTGTTCAATCGTTTAACCTCTTTTTAGGAAATATAGTAGGATTAGTGCTGAAAATAATAGACCAGTAAGCATTCTTATTAACGCATCTAAAAATCTAGAACGAGCGGTGTATCATAAATCAGCTAGAATATTTTCTTTTACTATATATGAGCTACAGTCAGATTTTAGAAGCACATACTCCACTGACTCGTGTTTAATCCATCTTATCCATCATATTAAGTCTCAAACTTCTAGAGGTTTGTATACAGGTATGATTTTATTAGACCTACAGAAAGCCTTTGACACTGTAAACCATAGTATTTTATGTAATAAATTGTCCGTTACTGGTACAGAATTATTAGAGTGGTTCAAGTCCTATCTCTCTGGTAGGACACAAATTGTGAACATTAATGGTGTGAACGCCGAAGCATGTGATGCAAGTTGCGGGGTACCTCGGAAGGTAGTTTGCTCGGACCGCTATTATGTTATATTTATGTCAATGATATGCAAATCAGCATTGACACAGATTGCAAAGTTTTGTTATATATGCAGATGATTCGGCTATTCTTTTTTCGCACAAAGACCCTAGGGTTATATCCAGAAAACTATCATCAGTGCTGGAATCTTGTCATGACTGGCTAGTCGATAATAAGTTATCGTTACATCTTGGAAAAACTTGAGTATTATTTTTGGTCCAAAGGTTTATGGATAAGAGAGTTTTACAGTAAGCTGTTATAATCATATTTCAGCTACATCATGTGCAAAATATCTTGGTATATATATATATATATTAACAACTTGTTATCTGGTGAAGAGAATGTTGATTCCATAATTAAAAAAGGTTAATCAGAGATTAAAATTTCTGTATAGGAATAGTAGTTGTTTGTCTTTCAAATCCAGGAAGACCTCATGACTGTTCTGTGCTTATTCTACAGTAATAAATTGCCACTTTGACTATTGCAAACTTGTGCTAGTTGGTTATAATAATGAAGGACTGTCAAAAAATCTTAAAAAGAATCAACCAGTGGCACAAAACAAGGTAATAAGATTCAGATTAAATGTACATAATAGACACAGTTTGTCATACTAAGATTTTAGTTGTGTAATTAACATGCTGGTTATCAATACCAGGGCAAGGCAATTTAAGGACTTTTAAACAGTTAACTATATGTTCAATATTTTCCATGGAAAAGCTCCTCTGAATAGATGTATCAACTTTTTAACAGGAATCCATGTCCATATAAACTATAGTACTCGCTCAATGTATGTAATTTTATTATTTCTAATGTAAAAGGTTCTGAATCTACAACTTTTTTTATTTTTCTGGTAACATATTCGAATTCACTTCCTGAAAACATCAAAAGTGAAAATAATAGGTGAGGAGTCATTTACAGAGCTTATGAAAGGAAAACAAGAATTTTACTGTATGTTTCACATTCCAATAGAAGAAAAGTATTATGAGTACTTTTAAACTGAGCATCATGTTTTAATGGAATAGCAGTTTATTTTATGAATGATGTCCACAAATGTATCAAATAATGTATTATATAACACCAATATTCAATTTTAAAATTGTACTTTAGTTTCTTTTAAAGGACTCCAATGGAAATAAGCTTTTAGCTTTTTTGGGTTATCCACAGGGTCATGTTTATGCGTGTTGTGACCCGTATCAGTATAGCATATATGTGTATTTCAGACATTTGTAACGTGACCCTGTGGGTTATCCTTAGTAAAACTCTTTTGATCTCGTATATTAACTAGTGCTCAATGTTGTTATTTTAAGGTAGAAGTACTGTCGCAAAATTGAAAGTTGTACTGTATTCTACTCTATGATATTTATGTATTGTAATATGCCTATTTTACCCGAAAAAATATTATTAAATTTATTAGTACGAGGCATAACCTGTCGTCTGCAAATGTTCATTTCTTCAGATGCGTGCGCAAGGTGAAAAGACAGTTGCTGAATCATTGCGACTGCGCTTAGCCTACGCGCACTTCCCTTCACCGATTAGTAAACAAAATACGACGACACGCGGAGGGTGGACACAAATTAGGGGATCAACCACCTGTTCAAGTCCGTGCTACGATATATAAGATCACTACTAACAAACTGCATCGAGTTCAATTGTTATAACATATTCTCTACTTGTATCGGACGTAATTGGATTGTCAGAACATAAGAAATACACACTTCGAGGTGACAACGGGGAAGTCGCCATTGCGTCTGCGCCCAGCTTAGATATAGTCGGTACTTTAGCTACGTTTGGAGCAGTATTTTACTTGAATCTATCATTAGATATTTCATAATACTTAACGAGGTAACAGTTGAATAAATGAAGTATGATATATATTATTATGATGCACTACCCTCACCGTCAAAGCAGTGTAGTGAAGCTGCAAATTTGGCGAAATATAGATGAAATCTGCGCAGAAATTCCTTATTTTAGTCCATCTTGAGCAGGGAAGTTCGATGTTGCTAGAGGGGGTAGTGGAATTGAAACCTATGCCGGAATTGGTGGCGGCCTCTATGAAGGAATCAAGGGACATAATTGTGATAACAAATCTTCAGTGCTTCATATTTTGAAAAAAGGTAGAACCACGGAATTAGATTATCTAAGTCCGTGGTAGAACTAAGTATTTTTTTAATCTATTTTTTTCTTTATACACAACTCATTTAAAGTTGTATGTTTTCTTTTAAGTCTAAATGGAAAACTATAAGACTTATTCTTCGAGATTGAATTGAAAAGTGGGTAAGTATTTATGAAACATCCAAATTGATATTAGGGTATTCATATTTTGAAGAAAGGTAGAACTAAGTATTTTTTTAATCTTATTTTTTTTCTATATACACACAACTTATTTAAAGTTGTGTGTAGTTTATACCCTAGTATCAATTTGGAAAAAAAAATCATCTTCATAAATATACTTAACCGCTTTTCATTTCAATATAATTAAGCAGTGGTGATCATTATTATTAAGCAGTATTAGTCACTGCTTATAACTTAATTGATTTCCTTAAATAAAAAAAAAGCATCGTGTAGTGCACTTAATGAACCATTAATCAACTAAAAAAACGTGTATGATGCATTCACAAGGGCATGTAGCACACAAACTGGTACCACTGTATATAATATTGATGGTAAACTGTGACGTCCATGCAGATTTGTTATTAGTGTCAAGCACCTATATGGACAGAATCGATTGAAATCATACACATTATAAACCAAATAACATGAACAGAGTAGAACTCGTGAATAGGGACAATTGATTTACGTCAGTTCATGTAAGGGATACCGCGGCAAGCTCGATCCTGGATAATTTCTTTTCCAAATGGCATATATTATATGTGCGTACATTATTAAATTTCAACATATGCCACTCTGTCCAAAATGCCTTTAAATAAATAAAAATGTCCCCGAGTGACTTGCCACGGTCTCCCCTACCGTAAACATTAATCATCAAGTCCTATTCTTAAATGAACATTATAAACTCATAGAATTTTTCCTCTGTCATTAATGCAGTCAGTCCAGGAGATATAATTTACAAACAAGTTGTTGGGATCTCTCTTAAAAAAAACCCACCAGGGAGTGATTTCGGCCCCAGAAGCCTTTATCGTAGAATGCGAAGACTGTTATACCACTACGCCATCCTCGACACTCATGCAGGTGTTGCGCTCACCTACGCTCTCTGCACAGCGTAAGTTAGCGTAACCCCTGGAGTGTCGAGGATGTCATTACGCTAGCATGTATAGTTATTACCCCACCCGTAATAAGATATAGACATATGATGTACATAAACAGGAATGGAAAAAAAACACAGAAGAAATTTCAACAAAGATTATAAAACGATCTTTTTTTTTTAATTTCGGAAAAATGCACAGCCAGACCGAAATTCGAACCCCGGGCTCTCCGAACTATAGACAGATCGCTACCAATACTATACTATTGAGCAACCTGGTCGACCCCTTCCAGTTCCTCTACATTGTTATCCCTTTTTCCGAATCTTCGCTCCCGAAGACACCTACTTACAACCAAAGTTCGGGTACCCCCCCCCTTGCAAAGCATTCATCCCCGTGCTTAAAACAAGGTTGACAAGTTCGCTAATTTTGAAACATAAGAAAGAGAAATGCTGGCGCATTCCAATTTCAACCCACATGAAGACACCCCACGAGCTAACATCCGGGCAAACAAGAGAGATTTACAATTTAGAAAAAAAGTCATATAGTTGTTGTAAAATTAAATAAAGTTTTAAAATGTTCAATGCATGGCCAGACCGGGATTCGAACTCAGGGCCCTCTGAAATCTAGACGGACGCTCTACCAATTGAGCTACCTGGTCGAACCAGTTCAATTTTGCTTCCATTTCAAGAACTGCTCGGTAACAGGTGAGGCCCGGGAAACACTCAATGAGAACATTAACAAAGAGATGAAGGAAACTGTTGGACAAAATACTGACATTGTAAGACTACTGAGAAATAACGATAAAACACTAAGGGAGCTACGAATAAAGCATACAAATATTTGTTTAAAAATAATTTGGAGAATATTTTGTGAAAAGCACCAATCCAAAGCAAACAGGAAATACTAGTATGAAGTTCAGTATCACCTTCAAAGGTAAGACCATGAGAATGAAAGTTTGTAGTTGGCAGCATCATTGTGAGAAAGGTGGTACATGCGTCTGTCCAACAGACAGCCTGGCTTCTGATCATGAATTTTCCCTTTCTTGATAGTATCATCAATTCACCATGTAGATTTCTTCTCTTTAATAAAAGAAAACAATATCCGCAAAAATAAGGTAATTACAGCTAGGTCGCAGGTGATTCGTTATCCAAGACCTAGCTCCGGATATATGGTTTACGTGATTGGGCTTCCATAGACACGGGTTGATGACTAAATATGTTTTGTGATCGCCATCATTATCTCATTGTGGAAGCTGTTTATTTACTTTTGCAAGATGAAGGCTGCTGTTTTTGGCTATGTTTATTGGTGTCATTTCTATTATACTATATGGTCTTATGTGGTCGGACAGGTAACACCATACCTGTTCACATCCGATTGGGGGAATCGCGAGTACGTTATCCCCCGCGCCACCCGACCACCCTCCTAATTGGTATTAACTGGGGGTTATCTGAACCCAATACAATGTAGTTTACAATACAATAACAAACTTTAACTGGAGATCAACTTTTGATAATACGCACTTTGACATATATTTACCATTTAGCGCACAAGCATTTTGCATATGTAAGTTTGTTAGCAATAGAAATGTTTGTTAATTAAAGGACCATAAAAATATTTGCTAAAATTTGATGTAAAAACTAACTTTCTCACATATCAAGGTATTATTAATACTATAAAAAAAACTACATGTCCAATGATGATACTTTAAATACTTTGATTAGTTATCCATACATACCCTTAAATTTAGAAATATCTATGAGGCATAAAAAAGGAACTCAAGATTTGTATAAGTTGTTGTGCCAAAATAGTACCATATCCACTGGGAAAAACAAATGGAATGAATTGTTTGAATTTGATGATGACACAGGGAAATTGATATATATGATTCCTTTTACAGTAACTAGAAAATCAAAATTTCAATGGCTTCAATACAGAATAAATCAACACATTTTAACAACAAACTCTTATCTAGTTAAAGCAGCTCTTACCGATAGTGCTCTTTGTTTTCAATGTAAGACTGAAATAGAGACAATAATTCACACACTATGGGAATGTGAGAAAGTACAAGACTTTTTACAAAATTTTGAATTCCTTCTTGATTCATTGTTAATCCCATTTGGTTTTAACAAGGAAACCTTCATTTTCGGTTTACTTAATCAAAAGAGTATCAGTAGAAGGGTAGATAATACCATAATTTTACTTATAAAACAATATATTTATAAATCGAGATGTTTACAAATGTCATTGTCAGTAGCTGCACTTAAGAACGTTATCAAGGACACATATTTTACTCAGAGATATATTGCTGTTAATAAAAGTGAATTATTTTT